CTGTTCTAAAGATCCTGCTCAAAAGGACAGCATGACTGAGTCAGGTTTAACTTGCACAATATTCAAATAAAGGCACATCTCTCTAAACCTCTAGTCTGTTTTGATTAAATAAATTAACCCTGCCGGGCACGGTGGCTCATGCCTGTAATCCAAGCACTTTGGGAGGCCAAGGCGGGCAGATCACGAGGTCAGGAGTTCGAGACCAGCCTGATCAACATGGAGAAACCCCATCTCTACTAAAAATATATAAAACTTAGCCCAGCGTGCTGGGGTATGCCTGTAATCCCAGTTACTCGGTAGGTTGGGGCAGGAGAATCGCTTGAACCCGGGATGCAGAGGTGAGCCGAGATCGCACCGCTGGACTCTAGCCTGGGCAACAGGACGAGACTCCATCTCAAAAACAAACAAACAAAATACAAAAATTAGCCAGATGTGGTGGCGAGTGCCTATAATCCCAGCTACTGAGGAGACTGAGGCAGGAGAATTGCTTTAACCTGGCAGGCAGAAGTTGTGGTGAGCCGAGATCGCACCATTGCACTCCAGCCTGAGTGACAGAGCGAGACTCCATCTCAAAAACAAAACAAAAATTAATGAATCAACCCATTGCTAGTAATGGGTTAATTTAACCCAGCAATTATTATTAAGTGCCTCTTTTTAAGGGTTGTACAATGTGCTAAGTTTTAGGAATGCAACGAACAATACAAAGTCCTGCCTTTGAGGTTGCAGTCCAATACAAACACGCAACATTGATGGTAAGCACATAACGCAGTGAAAGCACATATGAAGGTCATCACAGAGGCTCAGGGATTTGTAAGGGGGAATTAACTCTAAACTAGTATTTGGCAGACGCGAGGAAATGGAAGTTACACAAGTCAAAGTACTAATGGGCAGAGAGGGTGTTGAGAGCTTAAGCCGAGTACCAAGGGAGAATGGCAAGAAATTATTTTGGACAGATAAGCAGGAGTCAGATTACTAAGGGTCTTTGAGCCAAGAGTTTTCAGAGGTAAAACCTGAGCCTCATTCCTGACTCCTATGTCTTATATCAATTGTAATGCAAATTTTATCCTAGGAAAAAGGAGTCATTAAAAGAATGAGAAACAGGGACCAGACATGGTGGCTCATGCCTGTAATCCCAGCACTTTGGTAGGCCGAAGCCGGTGGATCACAAGGTCAGGAGATCAAGACCCTCCTGGCTAATATGGTGAAACCCCGCCTCTACTAAAAATACAAAAAATTAGGCAGGCGTGGTGGCATGCACCTGTAGTCCCAGCTACTCAGGAGCCTGAGGCAGGAGAATCATTTGGACTTGGGAGGCAGAGGTTGCAGTGAGTCAAAATTGCGCCACTGCACACCAGTCTGGGCGACAGAGCAAGACTCCATCTCAAAAAAAAAAAAGAGAAACAGGATACGAAGCTGAAGAAACACAAAAGGGAACAAAGAGACCACTACGATGGCAGAAGTTGGATTCCAGAGCATAGTAAAAGAGGAGAGCTGTAAATGGATGCCTAGTATGTGATAAAAAAGGATGCAAATACAGATTTTATACAGTAGGGTCTTGTTCGAGGCCTTGGCTTTTACCACCTTCATGAATCAGAAAGCCATTAGACAAATGTGTTTATGGCATCAAGGGATGAATCGCAAAAGTAGAGATGTGGAATAGCCAGCGGAATAAGTGAAAAGGGTGACTACCAATTGCTTCATAGCTTCATGATCCTAGCAAATATTGAGACATGGTTATGCACTGCTCACTTCCATTGTACATGGTTATAACACATCCACAATGTATGAATATACACTGGTAGAGACACTAATCTGCAGAATTGTGATTGACTTCACTACAGCACTATCATCATTCTTCAGAGAAAGAATTCACTCCAATTATTTGTTGAACACCTACTACATTCTATTTCTAAGACTTCAATGAAGGGGAACTTTCAGGAATCAGATCAAAAGCAGTGAGGTGGGGTCATGAAAGCAAATAGGGTATTTTTTTTTTTTTTTTGAGACAGAGTCTCGCTCTGTTGTCCAGGCTGGAGTGCAGTGGCACAATCTCGCTGCAAGCTCTGGGTTCACGCCATTCTCCTGCCTCAGCCTCCCGAGTAGCTGGGACTTCAGGCGCCCGCCACCGCGCCTGGCTAATTTTTTGCATTTTTTTTTTTTTTTTTTTAAGTAGAGATAGGGTTTCACCGTGTTAGCCAGGATGGTCTCGATCTCCTGACCTCGTGATCCGCCCGTCTCGGCCTCCCAAAGTGCTGGGATTATAGGTGTGAGCCACCGCGCCCGGCCCAAATGGGGTATGTTTATGTATTTAAAATTGCCCAATTTGTCTTTGGTAATGAGTTTACTGGTCCTCTCAAACTCCAGGAACAAATAATCCAGAATAGTACACTCAATTCATGCAACTGTTAGAAACTATACCCTCTGTGGAGAATCAGCTTTCAGGAAAAGTCCCATGAAGAATTCAGAAAGGGGGGGTGTTCCATTACTACAAAATACATGTGGTGATAACACAGGTTTCTGAGCAGGGGCGCAATGTCCTATAATTGCGAATAGCAAAAAAATTAAGAAACTTAGTCTGTAAACTGACGAAGAAAAACAATGGCCTCAGGTATATTAGGCTTCCAAAACATTTTAAGCTGGCCTTAGTGAACATAAGATAGTTCTAGTTTCAACTCACCAAGTCAATAGCTGTCAGGCCCAATTACGGTTTCTAAAATTTTATTATTCCCTGTCACCCAGATGGTAGTGATATGGAAACATCCTGATAGTGCCAGGAAATAGTGGCAGCCTCTGGTGATACACTCTGGGTGCTTCTGAAAAGACACTGGGTCTAAAACCACAGCCACTGGTGATACACTCTGGGTGCTTCTGAAAAGACATTGGGTCCAAAAACCACAGCCACTGGTGATACACTTTGGGTGCTTCTGAAAAGACACTGGGTCCAAAACCACAGCCACTGCTCTTGTCAAGGTGTTTTTCTTTTGAGACAAAGTCTCACTCCTTGTCCAGGTTGGAGGGCAGTGGCATAATCTTGGGTTACTGCAACCTCCGCCTTCCGGGTTCAAGCGATTCTCCTGTCTCAGCCTCCTGAGTAGCTGGAATTACAGGCACCCACCACCATGCCCGGTTAACTTTTGTATTTTTAGTAGAGACAGGGTTTCACCATGTTGGCCAGGCTGGTCTTGAACTCCTGATCTCATGATCTGCCCTCCTAAGCCTCCTGAAGTGCTGGGATTACAGGTGTGAGCCACTGCGCCCGGGCAGTCAATGTTGTTTCTATGCCAAGAATCCCAAAACACCCCAACTCCTCTAGAAAATGTGTACGCCTAATGTGGTATTCAAGGACCTTTACACTTTAGTCAAATGACCTTATCTCATTCTTTACAATTTTCCTTCATATGCCTCATATCGTTGGGTTTTCCATCTTTTTTTCTAACACTTTTTTTTTCCAATTTGTCCAAATCCTAACAATCCAAGACCTATTTCAAACGCCACCATCCTGAGATCACATAGATGGAATGTGCTTTCTCCAAATTTTATTTCCTTTGAGGGCATTTTCACTTACTTATTACTGATTTATCCCTCTTAGACTCTTGAAGAAACTTATTTTTGACTCTTAATGTCTTACTATCTATTTCCTACATAAGTCTTACAGATTAAGTGGCGCCTAAACGGCATCCAAAAAAACAACAAAAACAAAGAAACCAAAAAACCCCGAAGCCAGCCCACTATATTTCCAATGTTTCCCTTTTTTGAGTTGGGGGCTCTCACTGTTGCCCAGGCACCAGCAAGTGCAGTGGCACCATCATGGTTCACTGCAGCCTTGAACTCATGGCCTGAAGCAATCCTCCCAGCTCAGTCAGTTGCTGAGTTTACAGGCATGAGCCACTGTATCCAGCATCAATATTTTGCTTTTTGCCTTTTCCTGTGTTTCACACATTCAAGAGGGTTAGTATATTCTAACTTCTCCAATGACTATCCAGTAGGTCATTACATGGGTTACTCTTGAGATGTTTGGGGCCAGGTTCTTCTTGCCTTCTAACTGATCCTCATACTACCCACCAACCCAACCTGTCCCACTGCCAACCAACTTAGGATCATCTGTTAATCATAAACCATGTATTACTCACCACCTCCAAGTTCTTCAAGACTTCCATTAGAATGACATTAAAACCATGGTCCCTTGTGTGACTTGGCCTCTCTCCAATCTCCACTCACCTTACATGTGCACACACACCCATCCCATCCACCATTCAGACCTCATTTTTTGTTCAAGATGTTATGCTTTCCCATCTTACGGTTTCTGCACACCTACTGCCCAAAACACTGTTACCCAATGAGACTTTGTGCAAACCCTGACTTCTTAAATCCTCAGTTCCAAAGCCTCTACTCAGATGCACCTTCTCTCTTATTATGTGCAAAGGATAGTAACAAAGCACACTGTGGGCATTCATATGTATGTGCTAAATGAAATTTTTTGGTTTGCAATAACTGTCTGCTCCCACCATTTCCTGTGGTCTAACAAGGTTAGCCCAGATGTATACTGTGTTAGTTCTTTCAAGTAACCATACAGAAAATACTGAGCACTTAAAAAGTGCCAGGCTAAATTCTTTTACATATATATTAACTTGTTTCTCACAAACCTATGAAACTTATGACTACCATTTGAGAAGTACTTGTTCCAGGTCATGTAACTAATAAATAACAGAAAAGCATTTGATTGCAAGCTCTAGTTTTATGCTTACTCTAAATGACTGTTTCTTCCGGCTTATCTACCTATCCAACCTCAACACTGTATCACATACAAAATACCACACTAAGTGTGCTCTTTTACCCCTTACTTTTCCCCGTAGACATTCTGTATTTAATAAAAATAATTCTTCCTTATAGTTCCCAGGATACAACGAAAACTGCTCAGGACAACTGATGCATATCGTAACACCTTCTCGATGTAAACTGTTCTGGATACAAATTTTAAAAATGGGCTCAGACAAGTATCATAAATAATAAACGAAAGATTTTATTCATCTTTATAGACAACAAGCACTCAAAGGTTAATGAGTGAAGGAGATAATCATCTCCAAAGAGGCTTTTAATAAGGCAGAAGCAAAAATCTTTCCACTTTTAGATGAAAACTAAAAAATAACTTCTGATTTCAGATATGGAAATAAAGCACCGTTTTTCAAATGGTAGACTTGGCTTACTTAAAGTAAATAGCCCCAGACCATCTGAAAAAGAAAAACATTTCAATGCCCCTTGTGAGTTCTAATTACATGGCTACATATTAAGGAACGTCTCTCTCTCTGAACCTACTAGTAGACAAAAATTATACAGATAATACACATAAATGTAGGCTTCCATTTCATTTTTCATTTGCACAAGCTTCCAGCTATTTAACAAGGTGACAAATCAAAGTGACAAGATGTACTAATATTATTTGTGAGAACTTTACATTTTAAAAGCTAGTATTTAATTACCCTTAGTGATCCTGTTTACTTACACTAAAAATTATCCTATCAGTCATGATTTTTTATTCAACTAGACCATTTAATAATCCACATGGTCTAACATTCATCACGCTTTATTCAGACCTCCTTACAATCATATCCCATGTATGACTTATGCTTCACATAATCCCTTACCAGTAAAAGTGAAGCCTGAAGATTGACCTGGCCCCTTTACTAACCTTTGCGATCTTGCACCACTTCATAAAATGCTTACTCTAAACCACTAGACTAGTTTGGAAATAAACGGACCTTTTCCTCAGAAATAATCTTTCCTGGTGTAGCAACTGAACACTTTAACCTTCATTTATTATCACTTTATTATTAATACAACATCTCAGGGAATAGACTCCCAAATTTCACCACCTTTCCTTTTTTTTTTTTTTTTTTTTTTGAGGCGGAGTCTCTCTCTGTCACCCAGGCTGGAGTGCAATGGCGCAATCTTGGCTCACTGCAACCTCCTCCTCCTGGGTTCAAGTGATTCTCCTGCCTCAGCCTCCAGAGTAGCTGGGGTTCCAGGCACGTCCGACCACACCCAGCTGATTTTTGTATTTTTAGTAGAGACAGGGTTTCACTATGTTGACCAGGCAGGTCTCAAAAACTCCTAATCTCAGGCAATCCACCCACCTCAGCCGGGGCCCGGCCCCTTTTCTCTCAATTTAAAAACTGCTTTAAAAACTACAACTCAAGTATTGGGTTAATATCACTTTACTGTTACTGATTCCTCTAATATTCCAGAAGGAGCACAAGATTTTTTCCATTTTTGATAGCTGCCTATTGTCAGTTTTAACTGGAGCTGAAAAACAGAAGACTTAAGTAAACTGAAAGCCATCATTGAGTTTTAAAAAGGGACACTGAAATAATTCTTCTTGAAGATATTTTCTTTAACAGCCACTTATTTCTACCCTGCAAAAAGCTTGAAATGTAAAATTAGTATTTAAAGCACCATACAAAATAAAAAAAAAAAAAAAAACAGACAAAGGAGTAAGGTATGTTCCAATTTAATCTTTATGCACACAAATTTGTAAAAAATGTTAAACACATATATACATTAAGTCACAAAAGAGATGCAATTATTATTGTTCACTTTTAAACATTATCTTATGCTATCAAAATTTGGCTACTTACTCATCACTATTACATGCACTTAAAGTTACATACTTACCAAATTTTCACTGTCTGTTTATTCCTGCTAGGAAAGGACACAGTTCCTTAGAAATTTACTTCACTTTAAATCTTAAAGACACAAATGGAGGGTCCACACTTTGTTTAGTGCTTATCTAAAAGAAGGCATTGCCACATCACATGCTCAGATATCGATTTTCAGATTTCAGAAAACTATCATTGTTCATACTAAAAAGCATCAGAGTTGACTATTCATTACTGGTTCCCAAAGATCACAGGAGGAAACAGAATGTAAAAACATTCTTAGTATATGCTAGTTTTTATCTAGGATACAGTTAAAAACTAGAGGGAAAAAATAATCCATGCGTTACATATACCGAGGCTAAATAAAGCAGGGCATAAAGTAATTAGAAACATACTCAGAAGCTAACTTTCACTGGTATACGTGGTCTCAGAAATCTGTATTTCTAACTCCAATTTTTCATGCAGGGTTAGAGTGGCTTAAATAATACTTTTGAAATGTTTAAGCCTCTCAAAGAAACCCTGTAAGTAACTGGTCTGCATGAAGAATTTTGATTTTGGTAAACCCCTCTTCCACCCGAACTCCAGCTTACTGCTCATGAATCACTGCAACAACAGCTCCAACAAAAACAGAATGAAGTTCTGGTATCTTAACTTTACACCTATGCAATGTCTCCAAAGCACTGAGAAAAATCTTTTGGCTGCCAACTAAAAAGAAAATGTTTAAGAACTTTCTTAAATACTAGTTTTAAACATTTATTCCATCTCATGAAAATGAAATAATTTATGTGTTAAAAGTTTTTGTATGTGTAGTCTGTTAAGTGAAGATCAGAAAAAGGTGAACTTTTTTCTTAAAAAAGCATTAAAAGGGAAATGCCAGGTGGTAAAATAATTTTCTAATATTCTTGATTCAAGTAATATCCAAAGAGATGTAGAAATTCAGACTGCTCCCCTCTTTAATCAAAGTGTCCTAGTTCAGTTAATTTTAGAAGGTAAAATTATAATATATAAAAGTATAAAATAGTACTCACCAGAAAGGCAGCTTTAAAGAGATGGTTTTAAGGAAAACCATTTCCACTGCATCTACACCATTTCATATACAAATTAAACTGTGAAAGGCAATGAAACTTAAGCCCTTGTGCAATTTTACATTAAAAAACAAGTGGATATCTTGTAAGATATATTTTATTATCAGTTGATAAATCCATGTTTTAAAATTTAACAATATGCACAATTTCCATATAATCTGTTATCACAATGGCTAACCACCATCCAGTTCAAGAGGAATTCAAGATTAACTAGTTTTATGGCTAGATCGTCTCAAATTAGGTATCACACAAGGTGCAAAGGAAGAAGCCATACATCCTACCATCAGATTAGGATGGTTCAGGCTTGCGAAAATTAGAAATTAACTTGTATGCTTTATTCCTCCCTCCTCAGTGCTTTACATTTGTATCAACCTAAAAGCACAACATTTAAAGGTTAAAGGATGGTTCAAACAACAATGAACTTGGGTAGAATGAAAAAAATAAAAATAAAAATGTTAAACACATCTTCCACAACCCATTATGTCCCCACTGCCCCTCAAAAGTGTTACATGAAGAATCTAGCTACATTTCTTGATGGGTAGTCAGCTTTCAATATTAAAAAGGTAAGTTATTCTTAGTTCACAGTAAAATGAACTCACTGGTACACCAACAGGATACGTTATAGTTTACAAAAAAAGAAAAAAAAGGAGTACTTGTATCTATAAGTGTTGCTAGAAGAACAAAAAAGCATTATAAAAACATATTCTAGCTTATGACTGTACACCATTTATCATTTCTAGATGTGAGGAAACTTGCCTTTTTTCTTAGGTTGATTCATACTGTAAAAAGTTAAAAGGTGAATGAGAGAACCACCATGAAATAGCTTAAGTAAAAGACCCTGGACCCAAAGCCCTGGACTCCATATCATCTATCAACAAAGGCACAGCCAACTCAAACTGTCTTTTCCTTTTACGTACAATGTATCTACTTAGGTTGAACCACAAGGAGATAACAAAGGAGCAGTATTACACCTTTATTACAACTGGGGTTAGCAAACCTAGATCTACTTTGGCCCAAGTACTGAGTGTTTAAAGTGTCCAATCGATCTATTATTAGTTATACTCACATTTAAGTAATTGCACAGCTTTCTTCCTTGTGTGAGTTATATGGATATGTTTGAAAAAAATAGGAACATCAGGTACTTACAGATTAAACTAACCTGTACTGGCAGGGCTGTGGGATTTTTCTTCTCTACCAGTAAGTAGCAAATGCTGAAATTCTGCTGCTAGTTAACAAAAACACAAATTGTATTAAACTGAGGAGTTCAATCCATAGTTTAAAAAGTCAATGTGCATTAAATTTCCTCAGAGTCTGATATTAATACATTTAAAACTTTTCCCTATTTTTTTTTTTAACAAAAGTTACCTTATATTGGCTATTTAGAATGAGCTAATTAACACTGAAAATCTCTTGGACACATCTCAATTTTAATAAACTATGTATTCCAGTATGTGAACTGTGATGGAAATTGATTATTCTAAAAAGGGGATGGGCATATATCTTAAATATGTGGCAATTTCTAATTTTAAACGAATATGTAGACACACCCCCACAGACAAGCAATTTTTAAAAGCTTTTAATTCAACTTTCACAAAAATTAATTTTGTCACATCAGAGATTCTCAATTTCAAAAACATGTACTGAGGCAAATTCTACTGTTTCTCCTTGAATAAGTGAACAGGTAAAAGGGGGCTTTGCTCAATAACTAGATGCTCCATATTTTTTCTAACTCAGACTAACAGTAACTGTAGCAACTCTTCCCTTGCTCCACTTGGGTAGGTAAGCAGCCTCATTCTATTAGTAAAGACAGGGATACGATGGTGCAAATCTTTTTTTTTGACCCCTGTGATTGCTAAACTATTTTTAAAATTTTAATAAGAAGCTACATTAAATAATATGGTGAGACCTCAGTAACAAATGCAAACCATGAGTAAGAATGCTGTTACTTTTCAATACATTTAAGGTTCTTAAGTCAAGCAACACTACCCAGTGTTCTCTCCCAAATAATCACTATTGGTCCATGTGTAGTAAACTGGGAAAATATCATTCTTCATTTTTATCCAAGTTGGCCATCAAGGAATTTCACAGTTAGTTCCTCAGACTTAACTAATGGTGAAGGAACACAGATTCAATCATAATGGTAAAATGCAAACCAACCAACCCAGACACTAACAATGTCAGAGGGCTTAGAAAATGCCAATAAAGGACTTCACCTTTTTACAAACACAGCACACATTACTGAAGCTGTGCCACATTACTACCTTACAGACCATGACATCATTTAGAATGGGTGGAGTCCAAGTAATCAACCACTAAGACAGTTTACTCACATGTACCTCCTCTAAGGTTATTTTGATAAAAACTGAAACATATACATAAACATTCTTATAACTGATTGTATGCCTCTTAAAGAATCTAACCATCAAAGTTTCCATCTAATTAGCCAGTCTGGATTTATAATAGCGTTCAATTTGCTTCTAATAGGAATAGTTCAAATTAGTTTCAGCGAAGACCTACCTCATTTGGGCTACAAATTTCTGCCTCAATATGACTACTACTTCTGCTTAGTAAAATAGACATTTTACCCTGAGAATACATGAGACTAACCGAACAGATTTAAAGAGAGATGGTTCAGATTTCTCAAACTAATTTAGTTCCAAACTATTCTTTTCCAGAGTTAAGAAAATGAAAAGCTTTTCCTTTCTAGACTATTATGCAAAAATGTATAGAGCCAAGACTAAGAAAAAAATAGTAGTTACTAAAAGCAATTATCTTACTGAAGAATTTTTTTTTAATGTTACTTTAAAACTTAATCTATTTTCTAACAAAAATGCCAGGTAAAAAAAATAAAGACAGATGTTTTAGGGCTTAAACACTTGGAAAAGGTGGATATATTTAAAGTTATTGGGAAGCTCAAACCGAAGTCCTACTTTCTCCATTTCCTACATATTGGTTTGAATTAGATCCATAATGTGTCTAAGAGCTTAAGATACTAGTTTAGAAAATTCAGCACTAATCACAAAATTAATGAATATCCATTATGTACACGACCATACAACATCAAGTGCTTATTTTGCCAAGAAACACCACACAGAAGTCAGATGATTTCTTTGCTATAAAAACAAAAGGTTGTTATTTAAATGATTTAATGACAGAAATTAAAATACTGAGAAAGGGTTTTAAAAAAGGAGTAAACTTTACTGTCATGAGATAGTTAGCATAAGTGGAATTGGGGGAATGTTTACTTATAAAAATCTGCCCTATAGCCAAATAGCCTTAAAACTGAATCCCCTTTCAAAGGACCTTTCCATAAAAGTTATGATGAGGAGCAAACAAATTTCAATTTGGAATAATGCAGAAAGATTATTCAGTATTAGGTCAATAACCACAACCTTTTAAAAAAGACATACATGTCTGTATAAATTTTAGGGTATCTACTTCTAGGGTACATGTCTACTTTCATCAGCTTATTCAAACAAAATTTTGACTCGGTTAAAGTGGTGACTTCACCATTTTCTTTCATTTGCCAAGTTTTACCAGTGGATGTTACAGACACCTAAAAATTACATAATCATCGAAATCTTATTTGTCTGAGTCAGAGAAATACAAAAAAAAAAAAAAAAAAAAAAAAGGAACTATCTGGAACTATCTTAGTTATCTATATATATTACCTTCAACAAATTATGACATTACTAAATTCCTCCCACCCCCAGTACTCAAGCAGATAAGAGCCTGTATTTCCAGCACACTTTTTTCAATTATCACCATTAGAATTATGACAAGCAACTTAGAAAGATTTCAGCATACTGGGGGATGGTAGGTAATAGACAAAACAGATCTCCAATTAAGGACTCTTACATGTTGATTACTGAGGTTATAAAATAGTTGAATGGAATATTTTGTCATGGAAGCAACAAAATTCTTTAAATATTAAAATCCTTTTACAGTGAAAAACATGTTATTTAATAAGTCAAAATTTGTAATTCACTTAATGCGTATTTTTTCTTTATGCTTCCAAGAATGAAAACCATATACAAACAATTCCAGGTTTGCTAAATGCTACACTGTTCATTGTTACTGCTCAGAGTAAACTATCTGGATAGAATGGTGGCTCAAACACAAGAAACAAAAGTAATTCAGGTTTGTTTTTGGCCTCTCTTCCAATTCTCTAATTATTCCCTACAACACACACACACACACAACTTTTCTCACCAAATAAAAGCAAATTTTAGTTGGAAATAAATGTGCATACTTTTCACATGTCCATAAAACATTGTTCAGTGAGGCTGAAAATGAACCTCAAAATAATCACTCCAAAACCATAGTTTATCATACTTTACCACATGATCAGGTATCAAATTTCAGTTTGGATACCTGAAATTAGCAATCCATCCATGCTGAAAGGTCTGTAACACCCAAATTCTCTTGTTGTATCAACTGTATGGTCTATATCCCCACATACACAAGCACGCACAAAGACACCACCTTCCCACCTTAACAGGGCTCTACATTAACATTTGCTCTAATGTGGTGAGGCTTGAAAACATTTAAAATTAAGCATTTCCAGATGACCTTTTAGCCTTAACATTCAATGCATAAGTTAGTGATTAAGAATGCAGACTTTGGCCAGGCGCAGTGGCTCACGCCTGTAATCCCAGCACTTTAGGAGGCCGAGGCAGGCGGATCACAAAGTTAGGAGATCGAGACCATCCTGGCTAACATGGTGAAACCCTGTCTCTACTAAAAATACAAAAAATTAGCCAGGCGTGGTGGCACATGCCTGTAGTCCCAGCTACTCAGGAGGCTGAGATAGGAGAATCGCTTGATCTCAGGCCAAGATTGCGCCACTGCAATCCAGCCTGGGTGACAGAGCGAGACTCGGTCTCAAAAAAAAAAAAAAAAAAAAAAAAAATACAGATTTTGGCCAGGTGTGGTGGCTCACACCTATTGTTATCTCAGCACTTGCGGAGGCTGAGGACGGGTGGATCACCTGAGGTCAGGAGTTTGAGACCAGCCTGGCCAATATGGCAAAACCCCGTCCCTACTAAAACATATCTAAAAAATAGCCAGATATGGTGGCAGGAGCCTATAATCCCAGCTACTCAGGAGGCTGAAGCAGGAGAATCACTTGAACCTGGGAGGTAGAGGTCGCAGTGAGCCGAGATCGCACCACTGCACTCCATCCTGGGCGATAAGAGTGAAACTCCGTCTTAAAAAAAAAAAAAAAATGCAGATTTCAGTATCCAGTGGCATTTCCAATGATTAAACTTATCCTTGAGGTTAAATTTAATAGTTTATGGAGAAAATAAAACCAGTAAGATCTTCCTAAAAGTGAAAGTAGAAAATTTGAATGAAACATTTCATGTCTCCAAATCAAAAACATCAAATTTTGTGAATTTACTAAAGTTCAATATAGTAACACAAGCTTTACTGAAGCTGTTAATTATGTAACACAAAGCAAATTACATAAAAATGCATATGAAATACTTAGGTTTATTAACACCACAGTCAAACGTGAATATTAATATAGAGCCTTCTCTGCCAAAAGAGTATAAAAATCCTAAGTTTAATTAAATTTAGGGGCCTTCACCAAACTTGCTGCAAGTTTGGGGACATAAATATCCAACAGCCATAAAGCTGTGAAAGCCCCTATAAGGAATAAAATAAATCCCACTTGCCTCAGACTGAACAGGGCAACACTGAGACTCAGCCTCAGCCTGTCCTATGGCAGGGCTATAGGAAGAAGAAAATTTTAATTTTAGAAAAACAGTTCCCAATTAATTTAAAAGACATGCATTAAATTAAAAAAAAAAAAAAATCCCAATGATCAAGCAAGCAAAAGGAGCAGTTTTGTTTTGAAAACTACTGTCCACTACAATTCCATTCTGAGCCCGTACATCTTTTTGTTGGGGAATCCCCCTCCCCAATTAAGTTTCATTAAGGTGAGTCTAAGTTCAAAATGTAACTTAGTGGAATAGGAGTACAGTAGGAATATTTTAATCATACCTAATGGCAAATGTGTGAGAGACTATTAAAATACTAAGTATTCAAATCAAATAATTCCAGCAGCCACTCAAAAATTAATCCTCACCTGCTGTGGCCTTGTTACTGTTACACAGTATGAAAACTTATACAACAGAAACTAGTGCCAGACAAAATGTTTGTTTTTCTAAAAGGGGTGGATGTAAGGTAGAGCCAAAGCTGCCAGCCCTACTAACCTTACAGCTTCCTTAATTATGGCAATCAGCTTGAATTATCAAGTCCCAAAACCTGTCTTCTGTAAGGGCAGCTGACATCCACTTTGACTCAACTTCATCTATTACTTAAGGAAATTTGAGTCAGAGTCATTATGAATGTAATTTGCTCTACTCATGATTCAACCACGCTATGGACCCCAGAAGCATTTAGATAAAAGGTATTTTCTAGAAGCTTAATTATGCTTGGATGCATGCAAAAATTACCCTTCAAATATATTAAATGGGTACACCACCTCTGAGCCTATAGCTACAAACTCAGGAACTCATGAGCTTAAGTTTTATGTGCCAATGCCTAACACTTTCAATTAATTTTTAATTAGAATTCTATCCCATATTAAAAATTTCCATTTTTGCCCATCAGACATATACAGAGAGCAAAAAACCTTGCTATAAAGTCTCTGCCTTCTTTGCATAAAATGCAAATAAAGTTTCACGTAATTTCTGAAACAGGTCTACTAAACCTATTGCAGTTTGTCAATAACCCTGTACATGAAATTCTTGAGAATTTGGGAAAGCATCCCTTACTTAATCATTGTAAATTTAATCTCACCATTTTTATCTTAAAGATTTTCAACACGAGTTTTTCTTCGGCAGTATATTAAGTGTGCTGCCAAATCAAAGAAGCATGTATTAATTTTGAAACCATTTAGGTAGGCAGAGGTTCAGAGGGGAAAGTGGTTTGAGACTTGGTGGCTGGCAGAAGGAAGAAATACATTCTTGGCAAAATAGGGTAGTTTTACTTTCAAACTATGAAAATTTTTGTACCACTATGGTACCACAAGCACAGGAGCCATAAAATCATTGAAGCCAAATAATCAGGTATTTAAATTTATTTTTTGACAGAGTCTCGCTCTGTTGCCCAGGCTGGAGTGAACATAGCTCACCGCAGCCTTGACCTCCTATGCTCAAGTGATCCTCCTCCCTCAGCCTCTGGAGCAGGTGGGACCACAGACACACACTAAAGCGCCTGGCTAATTTTTAAATGTTTTGTACAGGTGGGGTTTTCCCATGTTGGCCAGGCTGGTCTCAAACTCCTGGACTCAAGCAATCCTCCCACCTCAGCCTTCCAGAAGGCTGGGATTACAGGCGTGAGCCACTGCACCCAGCCAATAAGAGTTAAAATAGCATTCAACTTTATAATACTTGCAATGTTTTGCTTAAAGGTATGACTTCTACCTGTCACATATATACAAACTCTTTTGTGATGGCTAAATCACTTTTCAATATATTTTCCTTCAAAGTTAAAGCCCTTTTTTCTTACAACTTCAGAGTTCCTGTCTTTTATCTATACCTTCACAGTAAAGTTATAAAGAAATGTTACCATTTTCTTGGAAGTCTTAACTTTACAATGAGAAAAACTCGAGTTCATTATATTAATACTTTGCACAGGTTATTTGATGCCTAAAAAATCATAAACTACCCTGCAAAAGTAAAGATCAGAAAAACAGATCCCAAAAAGGTCAACAAGAGCTATTAAGAGGTTGTAACACAAAATACTGAATAGCAGTCATCTCTACAGAAAAGCTCTCTGTAAGAACACAACATTCAAAATTTCCAACGATAAAAAGTTGCACAGTAAGGCTACCTAGGCTTAATAACAGAAGGTACTCAAATGAATAATGTAATCTTCCAGGAACATAATAAAATTAAAAATTGCCAACCCATCTGCTAACCATCCCAACAGAGACACATTTAGATTCTCAGCATTACACTTAGAATAATATATTACAACCCATTAACAGCACAAGAAGCTATTACTGCATGCACCTAAGCTTCTAGAAGTTTGTACCTGAAAAGCTTCTGAGGTCCATGCAGTACTGAAGTCTCAAAAATAATCAAAAGGAAATGAATGGGTCTGGCACTAGGCTCTAAACATCTCAGCAGGAAGGAAAAGTGTTAACATTTACATTTTAAGTATCTATGACATGTGATGTGTACTGACACCAAAGAGGATGGAAAGGTGATTATAAAGACTTCATACCCATTATGTAATGACTCATGTATCTAAGTCTTTCTCTTAACTGAAACATTAACATACAACTCTATACATATTCAGTTTAAAACATGCAGCTAAGAAATAACCTACAACTCAAAAGACAGAATCCAATGATATATCAAAACTGCATTGGTAACTATAAATTTTATTATGTGGACATCTACTGTGGCATGCATCTGTACAAACCTTTCAGGCAGTGGTCCACAGCTGGGTTATGAATAAAAAGGCATAAATTTTTCTCTCATTTTATTACAATGAAGTTTAACAGTACAGAAAAGTCACATGACCTTGGTGGGTCAGATTTCTTAAACCCTGCAACATGAGGAACTCTAAATACATTAAATATTGTTACACATTCAAACTTCCAATGTACAAGTACTTGGAAACAGTTACAGCCCTCACCAAGCTAGGTTGGGGACATGAAGTCCAACAGCATCTGAAATGCTGTGAAGGCAAACTTTACAAATAGCAATGTAAGCTTACAGAACTTGCCTTTATTAAGGTGGTATGTTCATGTAATTCCAGCGCCTTCACAATTTAACGAACCAAATTTACTATACTTCACTTCTAAAAACCTAGATGAAACATGAAAAAGAAGCCATACAGTATAAATTGCAACTTCAGGAAAAGTTCCTGCTTTATTATTCCAAATAATTTTTCCCATGTAAAATAAATGTCCAATAGTTCCTGGTATGTGGGAAGATAATGTTTGTTAAAGTCACAATGAAGCCTTATTGACGGAAGCTTGGCTATATAAACAGCACAAGTTGAGAAAAGGTTTAATCTCCAAACCTATTAGACTGGATGAAGTAAGATCAGTAACGGCCACCTTGCGACATTACAGGAGGTCTCATTCCCATCGGAGGTCGAGGAGGCCCACCCTGGTAAGGGGGCACCATTGGTGGTCCCTGCCCATACGGGGGCATAGCACCAGGAAGGTATCCTGGCATGCCTTGATGATGACCACCATACTGACCTAAAAAACAAGAATTTCAAACACAAAAAATAGATTGTTACGTATTGTACTTTTAAATGCAATGTATACTGCAGATAAATTTAATATTTTACGCATGAACTTAGAAAATCCACTAAATATGATAAACATAAAAAGAGGAATACCATGAGGTGGCATTGGGGGTCTCATTCCTTGTTGCTGTGGGATGCCTGGCTGTGGTGGCATCATACCTCCAATTGGTCCAACTGGTGGATTACCAATGGGGGCCTGTCCTGGCCGAGGAAGATTACGTTGATATTTAGGTAACTGTGCCCTTCTCTCTTCCTGGGAATAAAAATAAGCACAAGGCTAAATACTCAAATGTAGAGGCTCATCAAGCATAAAGGCATGCATCTAAAATCTTACAACGTTAAGAGTAATTTTCAAAAATTTACCCTTACATCCCAACTGTTTACTTTTGCCAGACAAACCAATCCAACTACTTAAACTCTAGATACCTTAAAACTTCACCTATTTGTAAACTTGAAGCATGGCTAACAACTTTCCAGGTATTACAAATTGTTTCAACAAGAAACTAATTAAGTATTGTTAACTTTTTTTTTTTGAGATGGAGTTTTGCTCGTTGCCCAGGCTTGAGTGCAATGGCCAGGTCTCGGCTCACTGCAACCTCCGCCTCCCGGGTTCAAGTGATTCTGCTGCCTCAGCCTCCCGAGTAGCTGGGATTACAGGCATGCGCCACAATGCCCAGCTAATTTTGTATTTTTAGTAGAGATGGTGTTTCTACATGTTGGTCAGGCTGGTCTCGAACTCCCGACCCTCAGGTGATCCACCAGCCTCGGCCTCCCAAAGTGCTGGGATTACAGGCATGAGCCACTGCGCCGGGCCAACATTCTATTTTCATTTTTCAAGATGGAGTCTTGTTCTGTTGCCCAGGCTAGAGTGCAGTGGGTAATCTTGGCTCAATGCAACCTATGCCTCCCAGGTTCAACTGATTATACTGCCTCAGCCTCCTCAGTAGCTGGGATTACAGGTACCCGCCACCACACCCGGCTAATTTTTGTATTGATGGGGTTTCACCATGTTGGCCAGGCTAGTCTTACACTAATGATGTGTCATTTGTCTGTCTTGTGATCCGCCTGTCTTGGCCTCCCAAAGTGCTGGAATTATAGGCGTGAGCCATCATGCCCAGCCGTTATCAACATTCTAAACATTAACTTTATATCAAAATTAATTCCTTTATACGGGGCTTAAGGGATCTGCAGATTCTACCTCACACTTAACGTTTCTTCAATTAACATATGCAAACTTATGTTTAACTAAAATGATTTTTAAGAGAGTTAAGAACCTGACTTGCTGTCTTCTTTTAGAAACAGTCTGGAGGAAGGGGATAGAAAGCATCTAAGACCAAAACATGCAATATCCATTCACTTTAAGTATTTTGTGATTTCTTAAGATTCAGAATGGCAAAAACCACTTAGTTAGCATTAAACCAGATCACAGACCATCTGAGTACAAATTAACACTTTTTAAAGGGGCAAACTGCTATAATGGCTTTAAATTAAACGCTGCTAGTAGAAAACTAAAAACAACTTACCAGGGATATATCCTCATCTGGATGGATCAACTTACTGGTTGCACTAGTTGTTGTGAGTGTAGCAGGCTTACTTGTTATTGAAGCTGCTGGTTTAGCTGCAGTACTATTTGTTGTACTAGTGGTTGAAGCTGTAGATTGTGTATAAGCAGGGAATGTAGGCTTTGGGGGTTCTGTAGTTGTTGCAGGGGTACTATTTAAGGGTTTGAAATCTGTACCAACAGGTCCTTGGACAGCTGCCTGAGCCTGTAAAATATAATACTTCGTCAACAAAACCTCAAAACCCAAAATTAACTATATCTACAACAGTTTAACTTAAAACAAGGCATCAACATCAAAGCACCAAACTTTAAATGAAATTAAAACAAAGTTAACATGTGATAAACACTCCACAAAATTCAAGATAACCCATAAAAACATCGAAAGATGCTGGGTTAAAGTCACACCCACAACACAGCAATGGAAATAAGACTATATTTAACTTGTTAGATGTCTTCTACCTCTTCACCAAAAATTAAATTTACAATGCTCTGTATTTATTCCAGATTGCTGAAATACAGTATAATAGAACAGCAGTGTTCTATTTTTACTGTTCTATTAGTAAGTTTAGTTATTAATCTATCAAACAGCTAAAAAACCAAAAAACTACAGAATGAGAGTTTAAATTCCAGTTACTAAGTATAACATGAACAACGAGTGTAAATGGTGACATATTAAAGATACATCCTTTAGTAGTATTCTTTTTATATATATAAAATCCCCTCCAAATTAACAATGGCTGGGTAATTATCAAGGACAAAAGGGTAAATTTAGCAGGATCTTTTAAAGTAACAAGTTACCAGTAACAAATGTGTTACTTTTCATATTACCACACATCTAAAACATGTAGACTAGGCCAACTTTAGAACCAAAGCAATGTATTAAATTTTCTTACATTAAATGTGATGCATTAAACAGCACAAATCAAAATAGCTTAATCATGCATCAGGCTAACCATTGGCCACTATAATGCATTTACTGCTTACATGCTTTTAACCCTTTAGAACCACAAGAGTTTGGGGTAGTTTTTTTAGCATGAATTAAAATTTTTAAATACCATTTGACTTATACAGCATTAATTTTGCTTTAAAAAAGTAAACAGTATATTCTTGGAAAAATATTCATTTTTTAAGTAGGGTCCAAAGGGTTAAGTTATAAAGCCATTTTAACAATTTTAAACTGCAACTTCCTGCGTACTTGTGCTGTGCTAGGAAACAGAGCTTTAGAAGATGCAGACAGACTTTCTGAATTGGATGAAGCTGTACTTGAGCTTGTGACAGGTGTCCCCATCTGTAGCATAAAAGAAAGGAAACAATGAAAAGTCTCCAAACAAATGGGTCAAAATAAGCCATGTGGTAGACTTTCTAGTAGATTGCATATTTGTAAATGCAAAATTTAATGCAATCAAATGTCATTTACTTTAAAAGGCAGGCAGTTAATGCATTTACAATAAACAAGATTAAAGTATGAGCCTCAAAATTTTAATTCTATACCAATAAAACCTAGTTAACTAGCTTTTCTAAAACTACTGTGTTTTGCATTATTTCAAGAATGATACCTGAAACTGAGAATAATTATGTATAAATAGTGACACTTCAATCTAATTCTGTATCAATGATTCTCTACAAAAAGATTTTTGCCAAATTTTACATCTCTCAATACATAAAATTCCCGTCCACCATAAAGCTAGGTTAATGTGCTTAATAAAAGGCACTTAAAGAAAATGCTTTTAATTTAGCACCCACAAACAGAAAAAACAGTTAAAAAAAAAAAATCTAAGGGATAATCTAAAAAAGAAAATGAATAAACATACATCCTGATCTAAATTCTGAATTAAACCTGAATCTGCTTAATTCTCAATGAAACGAGGAAAAAAAGCAAAGGTGTTAACCATTATGTGCACACTACATAGAACAGAAGCATCTTTCACTTATGCTCCAGAAAAAAAGTTGTAAAAGCTTTGAAAAAAGACCAATAAGAAATACAAGTGTGCCTAGGTCAAAAGCCATTAAATTACGCCATTTTAGCACAAGTGTGGCATTGTAGCTCATCACTGTTCCATACTAGAGGCAGAGCCTGACAAATAATTTGCTACCATCTTAGGAATGCTCATCTTTGACTTTGCTGTCCTTCCATTCACAGTTCAGCTAGCAAAGGAAAACTTCTGAACACTCCAGATATTAAACTTTCATTAGCTTAAAAAAAAAAAAAAAACTAAAAATAAATAGGGTTCACAACTATGAAAAAGTAACATACTAACTTTGGCTCCATTTAACCTTTTATGGGTAGAGGAAATCAGTGTGTAAACATGGAAGTGGATAAGCCACCTTTTAGAACATTTAATAAATAATATTAAAAATATTATAAACGAAAAAAAACCTGACCTACGAGAATTTCAAAGACTTCTGTAAACAACTGTACTTTATCTTTAAGTGCACTCCTTTACAGGATTTTCACCTTACCTGCCCAGCACTGGGGAAAAGAGGCTTAGTAACTGGAGGCTGCGGAGCAGGTACAGTTGCTGTTGGTGCAGGTGGTCTATTAAGAATACCTGGCGCTGAAACAGCCTGTGCTTGGGTCATTGGAGGAATTCCAGGACGTGGAACAGGTGGGGGCATACCTGCAGAGAAGAAATGTTTGGGGAAACTGAGTCACTGAAATATTTAGTCTAGGAAAAAACACTTCTATACTACAACATTATGAACAATTAACTGCTCAATGACTCGATTAAATCCAAGGAACTCAGGCATTTTCCCCACGCAATATTCTTACCTCAAATTTTCCCTTCCTTTGGACTGCTTCAGAATTTTACAAAGTGGAAGATAACACTAGACTCTGCTGCATGCACAAAACATCTGGCAATTATGCTTACTGATCCTAATGACTTAGCAAACTTCTTGTAATATATAAAATAATTATTTCAATCATCTACAAGACAGATATTTAAATGTTCCCTGAACTCTAGTGCAAATTACAAAAAAAAACTCTGATGAATCAAATACCATGAACAATAAAAACTTTTCCAAAGTTAAACACATCACTACTACATTCTTTAAACTTCCTCAACATGACAAAACTGTTTTTTTTTTTTTTTTTTGAGACGGAGTCTCGCTCTGTCGCCCAGGCTGGAGTGCAGCGGTCGGATCTCAGCTCACTGCAAGCTCCGCCTCCCGGGTTCACGCCATTCTCCTACCTCAGCCTCCCGAGTAGCTGGGACTACAGGCGCCCGCCATCTCACCCGGCTAGTTTTTTGTATTTTTTAGTAGAGACGGGGTTTCACCATGTTAGCCAGGATGGTCTCGATCTCCTGACCTCATGATCCGCCCGTCTCGGCCTCCCAAAGTGCTGGGATTACAGGCTTGAGCCACCACGCCCGGCCATGACAAAACTTTTAATGACTTCATATTATCAAATGAACATCAATTATTATTCTGTATTCTTTTAAATACCTAAATATGTATCACAACATAATGTATATGGAGCCGCCAGGCAATTATTCGTATTTTGTTGATGCTTTATTTTTCCTGTGTCCCTTTACATCAATTATTTTCAGCACTCTAAATATGCTACGGATTGCAAACACACCAACATAAAAACCAGGCTAGGGCCGGGTGCGATGGGTCACGCCTATAATCCCAGCACTTTGGGAGGCTGACGCAGGTGGATCAAGAGGTCAAGAGTTCGAGACCAGCTTGACCAACACAGTGAAACCCCATCTCTATTAAAAATACAAAAATTTGCCAGGTGTGGTGGCACATGCCTGTAATCCCAGCTACTCAGGAGGCTGAGGCAGGAGAGAATCGCTTGAACCCAGGAGGCGGATGTTGTGGTGAGCTGAGATCACACCACTGCTCTCCAGCCTGGGTGACAGAGCAAGATTCCATCTTAAAAAAAAAAAAAAAAAAAAAAAAGAAAAGAAAAGAAAAAGAAAGAAACAGCCTCGTGTGGTGTACCTCGCTGGCCAACTGAATCCCTCCCTTTCCTTGTGCTGTATTTCCTGCTTCATAGGCCAAATTCTATATACTTAATTTCCCAGGTTCCCTCACAGCATAATATGTAAGGAGCTAAGGCACTTCTGGGAAAGTTACTTTGCTTCCAAATAGAAGAAAAAGGAGGTCAGGTGCTGTGGCTCACTCACACCTGTAATCTCAGCATTTTGGGAGGCTATCTGGCTGCAGTGAGCTATGATCGTGCCACGGCACATCAGCCCAGGTATCAGAACAACACCCTGTTTCAAAAAAAAAAAAAAAAAAAAAAGGAAAAAAAGAAAATGGAGAGTGCACGACTACTGACACCGCTTCTTGTCTGAGCTGTCTTATAACCAAATGACATTTCTGAGGAAAACAAGCTAAGATCAGCAAAGTCAAAAAAGCATGAGTTAATAAGTATCACTGAGCCACTGGATCTACCACTTTTTTGTTGACTGAGACAATAAATGCCTACACTGTTTAATACAGTTTGTTGGAGCCAGGCGCAGTGGCTCACACCTGTAATCCCAACACTTTGGGAGGCCAAGGCAGGTGGATAACCTGAGGTCAGGAGTTTGAGACCAGCCTGGCCAACATGGCGAAACCCCGTCTCTACGAAAATACAAAAATGAGCCAGGTGTGGTAGTGGGTGCCTGTACTCCCAGCTACTCGGGAAGCTGAGGCAAGAGAATCACTTGAACCCTGGAAGCAGAGGTTGCAGTGAACCAAGAGCATGCTCCAGCCTGGGTGAGAGTGAGATTCTGTCTCAAAAAAAAAAAAAAAAAAAAAAGTTTGTTGGATTTCTCTATTACTTGTCTAAAATATTCCCAACAAATACAAGCGCTATTAAATACATGAGATTCAGCACATAGGCCATGACTCACTTTGGCTGCTTTGAAACCTATCATCTATTTCAAACTTCAAGAAAGGGCCATGGTCTTCAGATATCCACTAAAATACATTTTTGTAAATAGGGCCCATATAACACTTCTCACAAGAACTTGCAATTTAACGAAAATTTTTAAATTTCATTATACCAATGCCCACAGATGTCTAAAAAAACTTAGAATTAAAGCCTGTACATCATATTAAAAGGAAATTGTCTAACATATCATACCTGGTGGCATTCCAGGCATCAGAGGTGGTATTCCTGGTCCAGGTGGCATCATTCCACCCATTGGCATCATTCTATTAGAAAGCAAATTTCAAGAAACAGTAAGTTAATGAACAGCATAAACCATTAAAAAATATTCTGGCTAAAGCCTGAAACAACACTAGATAGACTTGAATCTGACCTCTAATATTGATATGAATCAAGCTAAAAGAACACACAACACACTGTAACAATCCTATCAAAATAAATTGTTTAAAACCCAGCAAACTCTTTGGTTTACCAATAAAAGAAAAAAAAATGCTGACAAAACATTTAAAGTCATTGAGAACAAATATACTCTCAATATGTATAAGAGACCTCATCTAAAATACGTGTAATGGAAAGCAAAATTACCACTTTTTCCACTTGTAAAATATCCACACAGAGTATTAAATAAAAAGAAGAAACCTCTATTTTAGAGTTGTGTCAGATTTTGAAAAGGAAAAGATTGAATGAATGTACCCTTTGAAATGAGATTTTTTATTTGGCTAGGTGCAGCAGCTCATGCCTGCAATCCCAGAACTTTTGAGAGGCCAACGCTCAAGGACTGCTTAAACCCAGGCTGGACAAAAAGTGAGACCATATTTTTTTTAAAAAAAGTATCTTTTAAAAAAAAATTTTAAACATTAGCTGGGTGCAGTACTGTGTGCCTGTAGTCCTAGATACTCAGGGGGCTGAGGTGGGAGGATCACCTGAGCCCAGGAAGTCAAGGTTGCAGTAAGCTGTGACTGCAACACTGCACTGTAGCCTGGGCGACAGAGTAAGACACCCTGTCTCAAATACATACACACACACACACACACACACACATATATATATTTTTAGAGGAAGGAAATGCTACCACCAAAATTAAAGACACTCAAAAGTAAAATCAGATGGCCTAATATTTACAATAACTACCTAACACTAAACCATGACTTAAAAACACAACCCATTCATTTTTTTCCCCTAAAAGAGCTCACCTTCAAATATCAGTGTCCAATTCACTTAAAAAACGACAAATTGGTCAATTTTCTTCAAAATTTTTAAATTTTTTGTGGGCAAATTCAGTTCTTGATTTAAAATTTTTATCAGAAGATTAACTTCTATTGATAGATTAGAAAATTCCATTATATCCTATGATAATAAAGCACATTTCACAGAATATAGTCTTTCTTAAATACTAACTCTTATTATCAGGTCCCATTACTTTTAATAGTTTGGAGAAAAATCACTGCACGTTTGAAGTATGTTTATATGGGTCTATTACTATTTCCTAAAAGATGTTTTATTTTCCTTCTTTAAGAGACCTGTGTTAATTAGCTTTCAAGTTTTAGTGAGGAAGGTTAGAAAATTTCTGAAGTCAACTGAATAGATACCATTAAACACACACATAAAAAAATGACAGTATGATTATACCTCCTGAATTACATTATGAATGAGATGCTTACATGTTTTCACCGCAAAATGACTGGGTGTATTTTCTCTGATGATGCAATCTGTGAAAATGTATGACAAAATCAAAATCTAACTGTGATTTTCAAAATACAGTGGGAAAGTGTATTGTATACCTCTCACATCCAACAATATTTAAGTAAAAGTGATGGGCACAAGCACCTCATACTCATTTTAGTTTTGATGCTTTGACAAATAAATCATTTACAGAGTTTGTCTGCTTCTTGTCGCAGCTACAAAGTGTCACAGATAGTTCTGAATCTCAGAAACGCAAATCTATAAATAACCAACTACTTTAATCACAGTAAATGCAATTGAAGTAGATGGTTGCTTACATATACCCTAAAACCCAAAAATCTATTATTCAGAGGCAAATTTATACTCCTTAAATTTATTGGTTGATCCCTTTATTAGACAAGATTTATATAGCCCATACCTCCTTCTAAAGCAAAAAATGGAAACTAACATTTCATTCATATAACATCCAAATTGAAAAAGATCATTACTAGGCATAAGCCTACAAGATAAATAAAAAAATTTTCTTACCCAGGTGGCATGCCTGGCATAACTGGTGGCATTCCTGGCATCAGAGGAGGAACACCTGGCATTAATGGAGGTATGCCTACAAGCAAGAATTTCAATCAAAATAATAACAAATATTAAAGAGTCAGGGGGAAGAAAGTAATACTTTGATACAATATAAATAATGCCCTAAAAATGTAAGATTTTAAGCAATCCTATATGCTACCTGGAGGCATTCCTGGTGCTCCTGGTACTGGTGGCAGTCCTGGCTGTGCCATTGGGGGAATATAACCTTGTTGAGGTTGAACAGGCTGTGGCTGAAATGAAGTTGAGGCTGCAGAGTCATCATCATCATATTCATCAGAATCATCTTGTTGCTTCTTTTTTTGACTTTCTGTTACAAAAAAATCTTAATTATTTCCATGGAGTAAAAACTAAGAAAGTTTACTTACAACATTCAATATTTAAAAATACTTATATTGGTAAAATTAGTTCATGAGATTTTTCTTCCCCCAAAATTCAATATTGCTCTATGTTCTTCAAATGTGTTTTCACCCTATATTAAACAAGGTTAACGTTCTTTCCCTGTCCCATAAAAGGTAAAATAATTATCCTAAATCAGTATTTTTTCTTTTAAATTTTTAGTAGGGTCTTGCTCTGTGACGCAGGCTGGAAAGCAATGGCATGACTGCAGCTCACTGCACTCTCAAACTCCTGGGCTGAAGTGATGCTCCCGCCTCAGTCCCCCAAGTAGCTGGGACTGCAGACACATGCCATAACACCGGGCCTTTTTAAAAAATTATTATTGTTATTATTTATGGTAAAGATGAGGTCTCTAACTTTTGGCCTCAATTGATCCTACTGCCTCAGCCACCTAAAGCATCGAAATTATAGGGGGTCCTTCATTTTCATATGCCGTAACACCTGTTAATTCTATTTGGAATTCAATTATGAAAAATAATATAAGAAAATGGAATGATCCAAATGGTACTGCATATATACCAATCAAGTACATGTCTTCAAAAACAGAGCTCAAATTTAAAATTCCAAATAGATAGATCTACCATTCAATTTTATCTATCTTATCTATTAAGTGACTAATCAATTAATTTATCTAGATAGGATCTCACTCTGTTACCCAGGCTGCAGTGGAGAATTCACAGCTCACTGAAGCCTCAACCCCCTGGGCTCAAGACATACTCCCACCTCAGCTGAGACTACAGGCATGTGCCACCACGCCCAGCTAATTTTTATAATTTTTTGTAAAGACAGCGTGTCACTTTCTATTGCCCAGGTTGGTCTCCCAATTTCTGGGCTCAAGCAACCTTCCTGCACTGCCTGCCCATAGTGCTGGGATGACAGGTGTGAGCCACTGCAACTAACCTACCATTACATTTATAATTGAAAATAGTAACTCTGGGCTTCAGTGAGGCTGAAAAAAGAATATTATCACAAGGGGAGACAGATGGTGGCTCACACCTATAATCCCAGCACTTTGGGAGGCCTTGGCAGGTAGACTGCTTGAGGTCAGGAGTTTGAGACCAATCTGACCAACATGGTGAAACTCCGTTTCTACTAAAAAATATAAAAAAAACTAGGCCAAGTGTGGTGACTCAGGTCTGTAATCCCAGCACTTTGGGAGGCTGAGGCGGGTGGATCACTTGAGGCCAAGAGTTTGAGAACAGCCTAGGCAACATGGTGAAACACTGTCTCTACTGAAAACACAGAGGAAAAAAAAAAAATAGCTGGGAATAGTGGTACATGCCTGAAATCCCAGCTGAGCAGCTGAGGCACGAGAATCACTTCAGCCTGTGAAGCTGAGGTTGCAGTGAACTGAAATCATGTCACTGCACTCCAGCCTGGCCAACAGCTAGACTCTGTCTCAAAATAAATAAATTAATTAAAAAAAAAAAAAATACAAGCCGGGCAAGGTGGCTCACACCTGTAATCCCAGCACTTTGGGAGGCCGAGGCGGGTAGATCACTAGGTAAGAAGCAGATCACGAGGTCAGGAGTTCGAGACCAGCCTGACCAACATGGTGAAACCCCTCTCTACTAAAAATACAAAAATTAGCCAGGTGTGGTGGTGCGCACCTCTAATGCCAGCTACTCCAGAGGCTGGGGCAGGAGAATTGCTTGAACCTGGGAAGCGGAGGTTGTGGTGAGCCGAGATCATACCACTGCACTCCAGCCTGGGCAACAGAGACTCCGTCTCAAAAACAAAAGTAAACAAAAATCAGCTGGGTGTGGTGGCACAAACCTGTAATCCCAGCTACTCAGGTGGCTGAGGCACAATTATCACTTAAGGCTGGGCACGATGGCTTGCGCCTGCAATCCCAACACTTCGGGAGGCCAAAGTGGGCAGATCACCACTTAAGGTCTGGAGTTCAAGATCAGCCTGGCCAACATGGTAAAACCACAAAAATTAGCTACTAAAACCACAAAAATTAGCCAGGCGTGGTGGTGCATGCCTGTATTCCCAGCTACTCAGGAGGCCGAGGCAAGACTATCACCTGAACCTGGGAGGCACAGGTTGCAGTGCAGTGAGCTGAGATCATGCCACTGCACTACAGCCTGGCAACAAAGCAAGACTCCACGTCAAAAAAAAAAAAAAAAAAAAAGAATCACTTAAACCCCGGAGGCAGAAGATGCAGAGAGCCGAGATCACACCACTGTACTCCAGCCTTGGCTGGACAGAGTAAGACTCTGTCTCAAAAAAAAAAAAAAATTTATCCCAATATTTACCTTGTGTTTTCTGCTCAAGAAGTCGTCGTCTTTCATCCATGTCTTTTTCTGGAATACCTTCCATACCGTATATTTCCAATTCTATGTCTGTTCTTCCAGGTATTGCATTTGGTACGGCATCTATTGTTTCTTTATGTACCTAACAACAACAATTTCCATTAGATAAAAGTCTTTTAAGAATAATTACGAATTAATCAAAGACTACTTAGTATAATGTTAAAGAATAAAAGTTCTATGGTGAGGCCATGTAGGGTCAATTCCCAGTTTTGCCATTCACTAGCTCTGTGACTAATATCAAGCATGTCAGTGGACCTCTAAGCCTCAGTTTACTTCATCTATATAGTAGCTAACTTCTAGAGTTGTTTTTAGGATTAAATACTATATATAAAAAATACTTAGCCAGACGTCTAACACACAGTAAACATTCAATAAACATTCTTTCAAGTTTATCATATAATCTTGATTACTTCAATTATTAGCAGTAACTAGTAGTCCTATCCAAATCAGGGATGTTTCACATGTGAATTAAGAAAAGATTAGGAAACAGCCTCATATTAGAATTACAATATAGCCAGGCGAGGTGGCTCACACCTGTAATCCCAGCACTGGGGAGGCCGAGACAGGTGGTTCACCTGAGTCAGGAGTTTGAGGCCAGCCTGGTCAACATGGCAAAACCCTGTTCCTACCAAAAATACAAAAATTAGCCGGGCGTGGTGGGGGGTGCCTATAATACCAGCTATTCAGGAGGCTGAAGAGGGAGAATCGCTTGAAGTGAGCAGAGATCGCAACACTGCAATCCAGTCTGCATGACAGAGGGAAGAGTCCCTCAAAAATTAAAATAAAATAAAAGCTAGGCATGGTGGTGCACACCAGTAATCCCAACCACTGGACAGGCTGAGGCATGAGAATAACTTGAACACGGGAGGCAGAGGTTGCAGTGAGCACTCCAGCCTGGGCTGAAACAGCGAGACTGTCTCCAAAAATAAAAATAAAAAAATAAAAAGCCGGGCGCAGTGGCTCACGCCTGTAATCCCAGCACTTTGGGAGGCCAAGGCAGGCGGATCACGAGGTCAGGAGTTTGAGACCAGCCTGACCAACATGGTGAAACCCTGTCTCTACTAAAAATACAAAACTTAGCCTGGCATGGTGGCATGCACCTGTAATTCCAGCTACTCAGGAGGCTGAGGCAGGAGAATCGCTTGCACATGGGAGGCAGAGGTTGCAGTGAGCCGAGACTGCACCATGGCACCGTAGCCTGGGCAAGAGAGCGAGATTCTGTCTCAAAAATAATAATAATAATAATTACAATAGCAAATTTTCTAAGTACAGATCTTGAGACAAGCCTCTGGTTACAAACTAGAAAAGTTACATTTACAATCAGTATCACTTGCAACTAATGAGTTACGTGAGGCATTTTACTTTTTAAGACAGGGTCTCACTCTGCCGCCCAGGCAGGAGTACAGTGGCATTATCTCAGCTCACTGCAGCCTCTGCCTCTCAAGCTCAAGCCATCCTCCCACCTGAGCCTCCCAAGTAATTGGGACTACAGGTGTGTGCGCTGCCATGCCTGGCTAATTTCTGTATTTTCTGTGGCGATGGGGTTTTGTTATATTCCTCACACTGGTCTCAAACTCCTGAACTTAAGGGATGCACCCGCCTCAGTCTCCTAAAGTGCTGGGGTTACAGCGGTGAGCCACCATGCCCTGCCCGGCCCTGAGGCACTTCAACATGTTTCTTGCAACACACTGAAAATCTGGGATATTTTTTTCTCACTATATTGTTTTGCTACATAAATGTTTCTAATCTTCAGATCTGGACAACTTTCGCCAATATCCCTCCCAGTCTTGGTTTCTTCAGCAAGCCATTTTGCTGAAGTAGACATCAAAGTATTTTGCCTAGACTATCAAGTCTTTCTGGAAATGCTAATGCATGCTCAAGTTTGAGAAGCCCTGATTTAGTCTAATGACTTAGATATATTCGCCCAAATAACATTCATTTTTTCTTTCCTCATAAAACATTTTCATGTATGAACAGAAAAATAACTACAAAAAGGTAAGTATTTTCTTCTTAGCAATGTATCTCACTTAAAGATTTGAAACTGGGGCATGCAAACCAAACTCAGAAATTATCTTAATATCTGATTGTTAAAAGCGATTCCTCATATAGCAATTAAAATATTTATGGATAAAGCGGCTCAACAAGTGACTTAATTGCCCTGTTTCCTAAGGATTTTTGGAATATTTTGCTATTCTTAAAGAGATGACGCAACAGGCATTCTATAAACAATTACATTCACATACACACTAATCTTCACTACATTTCTGAGGGCAACAATCTACTAATTTAAAGGTGTTATCTATTATGGTACAGCCAGAATTACATTTCTTGGGACCTTGTCAAGCAAAGTCATAGGGTCTTGGTTGAAAAGACAGGAGGCAAGCATTGATGAGAAACTGCAGGTAACCACCTAACTTACTAATCATGTCTTACTTAGGGTTTATCATCTATAAAATTGGTATGATTTAACTGCCAGGCCTATGTCACAGGTTGCTGTGAAAATATAGGACTAAATAAAGGCACTTAGACAATTAATAATGTTACTAACAGTTTCTCAACTAACCTCCTTGCAGCTTCCACACCACTTCTCCGCTCTTCATATAGTACAACTCCCTAAGAGTGCCTCCGCTTCCTCTCCCTTTGTCTCTTCAAAGCACCGTAATCACACTTCACCCTCACCACTCTTAGCAATGACTTTGTCAAGTCACCAATGACCTTATTAACCCAGTCTCAGTCCTCTTACTGAATCAACCACCAGCATTTGACTCAGTTAAATAAGTCACTCCTTGAAACACATCATTGACTTCCAGGGCACTATTCTTGGTTTTCCTACCTTTCAATCTCCTTGGATGATTCCTTGTAATCTCCTGACCTTCAAATGTTGGAAGTGGCCAACAGCAGAGAGCACCTAATTTCCATCCACATTATAGTCCCTAGAAAGGAAATCTAGTAGCATGGCTTAAACTAGCCACTCTTACATTATATGCTTCCACAATTCTATCTCCTGTTTTAACTTCTGTGAATTCCTGACCTGTACAAACTGCTTAGGTAACCTTTCCGTCTGAATATTTAATAGACCTCAAACATACCTACACTCAAAATTAACACAGGCCTCCCTTATTCTCATTCTTAAGTCTATTACTCCTGTAGCTTTTCACATTTCTATATATGCTAACTCATTTTTCACACTGCTCAGATAAAACATTTTTGAGACAGGGTCTCACTCTTGTAGCCCAAGTTGAAGCTGAGTAGTGCTATCACGGCTCACTGCAGTCTTGTCCTCCCTAGCCCAAGCGATCCTTCCTGCCTCAGCCTCCTCAGTAGCTGGGACACAGGCACGTGCCACCATGCCCAGCTTTGCATTTTTTGTAGAGATAGGGTCTCATTACATTGCCCAGGCTAGTCTCGAACTATTAGGATCAAGTGATTAGTCCAACTCGGCCTCTCAAAGTGCTGATTACAGGCGTGAGCCACTGCACCTAGCCAGACCATCTTGAGATCACCCTTAATTCCTCAGTTTTTCTTATACCCCATACCTAACCTACCAAACTCTGGTCTCTGTCACCATCTCCTCTTGTCTGTAATATTCCAAGTCTTCTAAACTGGTCTCACTGTATTCTGCACTCTACTTTCAACCCTGCAGCCAGAAAAATCCTTTTAAAAAAGTCTTACAGGCTGGATGCCGTGGCTCATGCCTGTGATCCCAGCACTTTGGGAGGCCAAGGAAGGTGGATCAGGGAGACCAGCCTGGCCAAGATGCTGAAACCCCATCTCTACTAAAAATACAAAAAAAATTAGCCAGGCACGATGGTAGGCACCTGTAATCCCAGCTACTTGGGAGGCTGAGGCAGGAGAATCACTTGAACCCGGGGAGCAGAGGTTGCAGTGAGCCAAGATCGCGCCACTGCACTCCAGCCTGGGCAAAAGAGACTACGTCTCAAAAAAAAAAAAAAAAAAACAAACACGTCTAACAGAGGCCAGCTGCAGTGACTTATATCTGTAATCCCAGCACTCTGGGAGGCCGAGACAGGATCACATGAAGCCAGGAGTTCAAGACCAGCCTGGCCAACGTGGCGAAACTCCATCTCTACTAAAACTACAAAACTCAGACAGGCACAGTGGTACACGCCTGTAATTCTAGCTACTCAGGAAGCTGATGCACGAGAATCACTTAATCCCAGGAGGCGGAGGTTGCAGTGAGCACAAAACAGAGCAAAACTCTCTTTATTTACTTAATTTTTTTGAGACAGAGCATACATCTCTATTTAAACCCCCATTTCATTCAGAATTAAAGAAAACAGCCAGGCGCAGTGGCTCACAACTGTAATTCCACCACTTTGGGAGGCTGAGGTGGGAGAATTGCTTGATCCCAGGAGTTGGAGACCAGCCTAGGCAACATAGTAAGACCCTGTCTCTATAAACTAAAATTTTAAAAATAGCCGGGTATGGTGGCACACACCTGTGGTCCCAGGTACTCAGGAGGCTGAGGTGGAAGGATCATTTGAGTAAGGGAGTTCAAAGCTGCAGTGAGCTATGATCTGCACTCCAGCCTGGGCAACAGGGTGAGACCCTGTCAATCAATCAAAAGAAAATGTTCTTATCCACATTATCCAATACAATACGTGTTAGTTACGTGACAAAGAAACTGAACATTTAGCTATTCATAGAATGTCAAATAGCCGCATGTAACTAGTGGCCGCAACAGTGAATAGCTGTGGGTCTAACATGTAGTAGGTTCTCTAATATTTTTTTTTTTCTTTTGAGACGGAGTCTCTGTCACCCAGGCTGGAGGAGTGCAGTGGCACAAACTCAGCTCACTGCAACCTCCACTTTCCAGGTTCAAGTGATTCTCCTGTTTCAGCCCCCTGGGTAGCCAGGACTACAGGCGCCCGCCACCACGCCCAGCTAATTTTTTCTATTTTTAGTAGAGATGGGGTTTCACCATGTTGGCCAGGTTGGTCTCAAACTCCTGACCTCAGGTGATCCATCCGCCTCAGCCTCCCAAAGTGCTGGTATTACAGGCGTGAGCCACCGCACCTGGTCAACATTTTAAAGTGAGTATTAAATTGTTGTTAAAGTATATGGAGTGAAAAGGATCTATATAAATTTATCTTTAAACCCGGAGAAACCATGTCTCCCTACCTCCCACAAATAGTAGTTTCCAATGATTGGGTATTTGATCTTCTCATATTTCTCTAAGGTATAATTTAGCAAAAGTATAGACGGCTCTAGGACTAAGCAAAAGTAGAATAACGTTGAATGAGACATGGAGGTACTTACTAGATCTTAAAAACTGTAAGTTACAATGCTCTATTTTCTAAAAGAACTTAAGAAACCTAGAAATTATTGTTATTATTACTATTATTATTTTGGGGATGGAGTCTCACCCTGTTGCCCAGGCTGGAATGCAGTGGCGCCATCTCGGCTCACTGCAACCTCTACCTCCAGGGTTCAAATGATTCTCCTGCCTCAGACTCCCCAGTAGCTGGGATTACAGGCACACCCCACCACACCCGGCTAATTTTTGTATTCATCATGTTGGTCAGATTGGTCTTGAACTCCTGACCTTGTGATACGCCCACCTCAGCCTCCCAAAGTGCTGGGATTACAGGCGTGAGCCACCGTGCCTGGTTGAAACCTAGAAATTATTAAATGAAATACAATTCTGGGCTGGCACAATGGCTCATGCCTATAATCAATCCCAGGGCTTTGGGAGAACGAGGCAGGAAGATGGCTAGAACCCAGGAGTTTGAGGCTGCAGTGAGCCATAACCATGTCACTGCAATCCAGCCTGGGCCACAGAGCAAGGCCGTCTCTTAGAAGCAAAGAATACAACGCTGCCATTTCAATAAATAAGCTGCTGAAATTAGCCTAGCCCCAAGCTACAGATAATAACATCCTTCAGTGGCAGTGAGTAATGACAGTTAATTAAGTATTAATCCTTATGGCCAGACCACCTACAAAATCTAACTCGCTGATCCTTGCTCTCTGCTCCAAGAACTCAGGAAATATTTTGTGATTTCAATCTGTTACCAATCTACCCTAGTAAGGTACTATCAAACTAAATACAAATATAAACTCTCTTTAAACATAAAAACCCAGTTTTGTTTATTGTCTTGATGGCTATCGAACAATTTTTTTTTTTTAAGGCTGACTAGCTATCTTATCTTCTGCAGTAAGTAAATGAAGAACAACAACAAAAAAAATTACGGTTGTCAGAGAAATAAATGATTATTCTTTCAGCCAGGCGCGGTAGCTCATGCCTGTAATCCCAGCACTCCGGGAGGCCCAGGTGGGTAGATCACCTGAGGTCAGGAGTTCAAGACCAGCCTGGTCAACATGGTGAAACCCCAGTCTGTACTAAAAATACAAAAAATTAGCCAGGCATGGTGGCGGGCGCCTGTAGTCCCAGCTACTCGGGAGGCTGAGGCAGAAGAATCACTTTAACTGGGGAGGCGGAGGTTGCAACGAGCCGAGATTGCATCACTGCACCCCAGCCTGGGCGACAAGACCGAAGCTTAAAAAAATAAAGATTATTCCTTCAAGTTGTTTCCAAATCACAAGCGGACAATAAATACAGAAGAAAAATCCTTACCTGCATGCAATGAATAGCTAAGCCAGGTCCTGTATACAATTTCTTGTGACATATATGGCATTTAAAATGCTTTGCTTTTTGGTGCTGTATAAGGATCTTCTCATCATCAAAATCTCTATTACAATACCTGATCAATACTGTTAAGGCACAAAAACAGCATAATGATGACACTGCCTGTAATAAAAACACATGGATAACACTACAATATAGGAACAGCTAAAACCAAAATGGTACTGTATAGAAACCCTGCTTCTGATATTTATTACACAATTAAGGACTGCACATGCCATGTAATTTCAATATTTTCAATTTCCTAGAAGCCTATCTCTCTTCACTACCTCAAAAAACACATCAGTCATCAGCAATATACTTTGTCAAATTCCTATGTTCAACAGAGATGTCTGCGAAACTTTTGTTACAAATATTTCAACATTTACAAATGCACAGAGGACAGGAAGGAGTTCAGTTAAGAAATCCTCAAGGTTCTGTCAAGACAATTACTTCACTAGATATGTAGACGATAGCAATAACTGGATTAGGAATTTAGCAATATTTAGAATCAAAGATTATATGGTGAACAATAATCACATAATTTTGAATGAACAATCCATAAAATTGTTTCCAATTCCGAATGAATTTGTTGCCAAGCAATGTATTTAAATTCACAGAATAAAATCAATAAAACAGAATTCTTACTACTCAGATTTTCCTAAAATCACATTACAAAATTCGTAACCGTATTTAAGCTATTTTTAAAGCTGTTACATAAATAAATGCAGTACTGTAACAAGCCGCCTTTACGTACAAAACAGAATCAATTTTAATGTAAAGAATATTAACGCTTCCGGAAAAAGTATTAAATAATACCACACTGTAGTAAGAGTTTTCCTAATAAGATAGTCATTTTTTAGTCCTACAAAGTTGGGTAATAGAAACTCCACCCTGTGAGAACGCTTCCTGCAGATTAAGGCGCCTCTGGGTGAGACACGGAAGCTAGTTCTCCTCCAGCCCCAAGAAGAAAAAAATAAAAAAGGTTCGAAACCAGGGTTAACTAACTTGGGTCTTTACTAAACCGCCAATTCGAAAAAACACAAAGCACCCATAAAGTACATAAAAACAGAAAAAGTGGGTGACAGACTGGGAAGCTCTTCCCCAACCCTCCATGGAATTAATAAGCCTATCGCACTCGAAGAAAAGTCCCTTTGTTGAATCGTCACCAAAACAACGGAATGTGGCTGAATAGTCCCTAGGGGACACTGTCCTTGGCGGAGGGGTCCAGGCCGCCTCCCAGAGTCCAAAATTCGCACCAAACAAGATCCTCCTGAGTCAGTCACACGATCCACAACTGCAAGATCCTCTCGACCTCGGAACACCATTTTCCTAGAAGCCTTCCCAAGTCCAATCCCAGCCACCAGGCCACCCACGCCGACGCTTAAATACAAACGCTCCACGCCATAGGCCAAACCCAGGCCTCCCAGTCCCAGGCCCCACCAACCGGCACCCCAGCGCGACCTCGACTTCAAACCGACAAAGGATACCAGCACCACGGCTTCAGCTGCTTCTTCTTCTTGCGACCCATAACTGTGTTCTACCGACAAAGTAAAAGGGAGGAGAAAAGAAGCAGGAGAAACGAGGCGAAAAATCCCTCACTTTCCCGACCCAACGGCTACGACCGCGTCCCACAGGAAGCAGACACAAAATGGCCGACGGCCTCGTTCGCCGCTCCGCCTCCCGTCAGGCACTGCGGCAGGAGGCGGAGCCAGGAAGGGAGGGTCACATGACGCAGACCTCCGCCCTGAGTGGGTGGGACTAAGAGGCGCGAAGAGGTGGCTGACATCTTGTCCGTTTGAGAGTCTTTCGCTTTCGCTGTCAGTGCTTGCGGAGCACTTCGGATTTCTTTTGTAAAGGAGCCAGAGACCTAGGTACGCCAAGGCACATGCAAATGGAAAACAGAAAACGTAAAAACGGGAAAGATTGCCAGTGCAGTTAGGGCTGATCACAAATAAAGATAGAGACAGCGCCCAATTTTAATTTTGTTTTAACAGTAAATGTTGATTATGTGCCTATTAAATGCTAAACCAAAGAAGTTAGTTTCTGCTTTGTAACTCGCAGATTGGTGACAGACGAGTACACAACGCAGAGCCCTCAGTGCGGCGTTGGGGGAAATGTGAAGTGCTGTAGGACCTCAGAGGGCGGGAGTCCTAAGGCGGCCGTAGTGGTAGTGATCATTGGGTTGTCAAGAAAGGTTTTGTTTTTGTTTGTTTTGTTTTATTTTTCTAAGACGAAGTCTCGCTCTGTCGCCTAGGCTGGAGTGCAGCTGCGCGATCTCTACTCACTGCACCCTCTGTCTCCCGGGTTCAAGCGATTCTCCTACCTCAGCCTCCTGCGGGACTGCAGGCCCGCGCCACCAAGCCCGGCTAATTTTTGTATTTTCAGTAGAAATGGGGTTTCACCGTGTTAGCTAGGCTGGTTTCGAACTCCTGGGCTTAAGTGATCCGCCCGCCTCGTCCTCCCGAAGTGCTGGACTGCAGGCTTGAGCCGCTGCACCCGACACAAGAAAGGTTTCTTGAAGAGTCAAAGGGAGCAAGCAAGGTGAAGGAAAGGGTATCTCAGTAAGGGAGCAAAGAGTTGAAGTCTTTGAGGCTGGGCACGTGAAAACACTAGTCGTGGTAAGACTGGAGCTGATAGCCGGGCGCGGTGGCTCACACCTGTAATCCCAGCACTATAGGCCGTGGCCGGGGCCGAGGCTGAGCCTGGAGGATCACTTGAGGTCAGGAGTTCGAGACCAGCCTGGCCAACATGGTGAAACCCTGTCTACTAAAAATACAAAAATTAGCCAGCCGTAGTGGCAGGCGAATGAGGCAGGAGAATCACTTGAACCTGGGAGGTGAAAGTTGCAGTGAGCCGAGATCTCACGATTGCACTCCAGCCTGGGTGACAGAGTGAGACTCCATCTCAAAAAAAAAAAAAAAAAAAAAAATACTGGAGCTGTCAGTGAAGGTGCTGGTCACAAGAGATAATCCTAGGGAGGCTAGCAAAGGCGGATTCTGGCAAACCCTAGAAACATTGTCAGAAGTTGGATTTCAGGCTGAAGTCTCTGAGAAGGCACAGAGGAGTTCTAAGAGGGCAACTGGAGGATCATGCAAGTGAGAGGTGGTTAAAAGCCCAGTGCTTGGGTTCATAGTCCACCAGTGCCACTGCCTAGCTGCCTGACTTTGGGCAAGGCACTTAAACTTCATCTGGCTGCACTCAGAACAGAACTTGGCATATAGTAATAACTAGTAATGTAAATTATGTGTTACTATTAAAAGCAGAAAATAATAGCAGACATCCATGGAGCACCTACTGTGTGCCAAGCATTGTAGTAAGTTTTAACATTATTTATCTCAGCCTCTGGGGTAGGAGCCATTATTGTCAACTTGTTAATAGAGATGAGATAAAAGAGACTTAAGAGAGCTGGAATAATTTGCCCGAAAGCACAAAGTAAGTGTGGAGCTGAATTGAATTTTAAAGGATAAGTTTAGGCTGGGCGCAGTGGCTCACGCCTGTAATCCCAGCACTCTGGGAGGCTGAGGTGGGTGGATTACCTGAGGTCAGGAGTTCAAGACCAGCCTGGCCAGCATGGTGAAACCCAGTCTTTACTAAAAATACCAAAAAAAAAAAAAAAAAAAGTAGCCAGGCATGGTGGGACACGCCTGTAACCCCAGCTACTCGGGAGGCTGAGGCAGGAGAATCACTTGAACCCGGGAGGCAGAGGCTGCAGTGAGCCAAGATCATACCACTGCACTCCAGCCTGGGCGATAGAGGGAGACTGTCTCAAAAAAAAAAAGGAAGTTCAGGCTGGGTGCAGTTGCTCAAGCCTGTAATCCCAGTGCTTTGGGAGACCGAGGCAGGAGGGTGGCTTGAGGCCAGGAGTGTGAGATCAGCCTGGGTACTATAGTGAGACCATCTCTATGAAAAAATGAATTAAAAAATGAAAAACTTCAAAACCATATTGCAATGTGCTGAATATTCCCCCAACTGCTTGAAACGTAATCACCAATGTGATAGCATTAAGAGGTGGGACCTTTAGCAGGTGATTAAATCATGAGTAAACGGGTGGATTAGTGAGTTTATTAAAGTGCTGGAAGGAACTAAACTTTCTACTCTCTCCTGCCTTCCACCAAATGAGGATGCAGCAAGAATGCCCTCATCAGACACTGAGTACTAGTGCCTTGATCTTGGATTTCCAAATTTCCAGACCATGAGAAAACGAAATTCAGTGGGCGTAGTGGCTCCCACCTGTAATCCCAACACTGGGAGGCTGAGGTGGGTGGATTACCTGAGGTCAGGAGTTCGAGACGAGCCTGGCCAACATGATGAAACCCTGTCTCTACTGAAAATACAAAAAAATTAGCTGGGCATGGTGGCGGGCGCCTGTAATCCCAGCTACTCGGGAGACTGAGGCAGGAGAATCGCTTGAACCCAGGAGGTGGAGGTTGTAGTGAGCCAAGATCGCGCCATTGCACTCCAGCCTGGGCAATAAGACCAAAACTCTATCTCAGGGTAAAAAAAAGAAAAAGAAAAGAAATAAAATGCTGGCCAGGTGTAGTGGCTCATGCCTGTAATCCCAGCACTTTGGAAGGCTGAGGTGGCTGGGTCACCTGAGATCAAGAGTTCGAGACCAGCCTTGCCAACATGGCAAAATCCCATCTCTACTAAAAATACAAAAATTAGCTGGGCATTGTGGTGGGCACCTGTAACCCCAGCTACTCAGGAGGCTGAGGCAGGAGAACCCAGGCTGAGGCTTGAACCTTGCAGGTGGAGGTTGCAGTGAGCTGAGATTGCACGACTATACTCCAGCCTTGGCGACATAGTGAGACTCCATCTTAAAAAAAAAAAAAAGAAAAGAAATACAATTCTGTTACTCATAAATTCCCCAGTCTGTAGTGTTTTGTTATAGCACCACAAACAGATTAAAACACTTTTACTATGAAAGCAATAAAATATTGCTGTTAGTTGGGAGGCTTAGGCGGGCGGATCACCTAAGGTCAAGAGAGAGATCATCCTGGCCAACATGGTGAAACCCTGTCTCTGCTAAAAATACAAAAATTAGCTGGGCCTGGTGGCGTGTGCCTGTAGTCCCAGCTACTTGGGAAGCTGAGGCAGGAGAATCACTTGAACCCAAGAGGCAGAGGTTGCAGTGAGCCAAGATTGCGCCACTGCACTCCAGCCTGGTGACAGACCGAGACTCTGTCTCAAAAAAAAAAAAAAAAAAAAATGCTGTTAGAAATTAAAGAAGGCCTGCTAGGCTAGATCATTCCCAGCACTTTGGGAGGCTGAGGTGGGAGAATCACTTGAAGCCAGAAGTTTAAGGCGAGCCTGGGCAACAAAGCAATATCCTATTCTCTATGAAAATAAAAATTAGCTGGGTTTCGGTGGCCCAGAATAGTAGAGTGCAGTGGTGCAATCGTAGCACACTGCAGCCTCGATCTCCTGGGCTCAATGGATCCTCACACCTCAGCCCACCAAGTAGCAGGGACTACAGGGCCATGCCACCATGCCTTGCTAATTTTTTTATTTTTTATCGAGATAAAGTCTTGCTTTGTTGTCCAGGCTGGTCTTGAACTCCTGGGCTCAAGTGATCCTTCTGTCTCAGTCTCTCAAAGTGTTGAGATTACAGGCGTGAGCTACCATGCTGTGCCTCTCGTAGTGGGTTTATAGATAAGCAAGGGGAGGAGGCTAGAATGATCCATGTGGCCATGGATTAGGGCTGGAGACACCAGTATGAACTCATGTTTATTTAAAATAGATACATAGAGAAATATTTATGGATATGGGTATATACTCAAGTTAGAATAGATACATATATTTCCTTGTCTTATCAGCTGAGAGGGCCTAGAAGCAATAATGCCCCATAGCAAGCATACTTTGCCCCCGGGTCTTGGTTTATAATACCATTCTCCAGTAAAAGCAACCTGAGGTTCTTGGAGAAATGACTGATTTGGGCCGGTCACGGTCATGGCTTATGCCTATAATCCCAGCACTTTGGGAGGCCGAGGAGGGCAGATCACGAGGTCAGGAGTTCGAGACCAGCCTGACCAACATGGGGATTCTTCTGCCTCAGACTCCCGAGTATCTGGGACTACAGGTGTGTGCCACCACGCCTGGATAATTTTTATATTTTTAGTAGAGACAAGAGTTTCACCAGGTTTGCCAGGCTGGTCTTGAACTCGTGACCTCAGGTGATCCACCTGCCTCAGCCTCCCAAAGTGCTGGGATTACAGATGTGAGCCACTGCACCCGGCTGGGGTAATTCTTTTCAACCTAGAATTCAATGTCCAATCATATCAGTCTAAAATTCTATTTCTTTCTCCCCCCCACCCAAGACGTAATCTCGCTCTGTTGCCCAGGCTGGAGAGCAGTGGCATGATCTTGGCTCACTGCAGCCGCTGCCTCCCAGGATCAGGTGATTCTCCTGCCTCTTGATTTGATTAAAGCAAATTAAGAGAATAAACCATAATCTAGAAAAAAATGGGATTAACAGGGAAGAATGTGAAGAAATCCAGATTGGAATAGAAGAAAGGGTTGTTGGGGGGACTCTGTATTAGTTTCTTTCTTTCTTTCTTGATACCCTGTCTCTATAAAAAATAAAAATACAGCTGTTTCCTGAGTGAGATTTGGTTTTCAGTCCGGGCAAATGAAGACCATTTTGGGGTTAAAAGGGCTCTTTTTTCTCCATTCCTTGATATGGACCTGTGCTGGAGACTGGTCAGCTATTCAAGTATAATGCACCCAGTTTTGGTTCTGTGCCAGGATTAAACCCATGATATTTCACAATTTGTATATGAACCCCGATGAAGTGTTTCTAGGAGGTGGTTGCCTTGTAACCTATGTTTTGCCAAATATCTACTATGAGTTTTTCTACCATCCTCGTGACTGTGGTATTGTAACTTAACCTCTCCAGGAAGTTCTGCTTAAAACTAAAATCAAGTGTATCTCAAGAGACTACTGTCCGATCTGAAATGCCTCTGTCGTGTGTTGTCCACAATTAGAATCCTCTTTTAAATGTAGTTGAAATGAGAGATAAGGAAACTGACAATGTTACTAAATGGGAGATAGAGGTGAGGATACACATTGCGAATGAAGACATGGCAGTAACTTCTGCAACACAATCTTTTGAGAATCTGACTGCTATACTCCCTTGTTCATCAAATGAGTACCCTTATTGCAAGAGAAGAAACTGTGCTATCCACTTTGATATTGAGAGGCAATTTGGAATCTCTGCTGGGATTGCTTAGGACTGAGGATTTAATGTGCTATTTTGTGAAAATCTGAGAAGCAGGAAGGGGATTTAATGATCTCAACTGTTATCCATCTGAAAAACCTAACTTGTAATTTTAAATAAAATGGCAGGCTGCCTTCCAGTATTCCCTTTTTAAAGTAGGAACTGCCCCTGCTTTTAACTTTATGAAGTTTTATTTATGAATAAAGTTTGTACTACTAAAAAAAAATACAGAACACACGCACACACACGGTGGCTTAAAACAATGGAAATGTATTATTTCACAGTTCTGGATGCTAGAAGTTGACATGGAGGTGCTGGTGGGGACATACTCTCTTGAAGCCTCTAGTGGAGAATCTGTTCCATGTCCTCTCCTAGCTTCTGGTGATGGCCATTAATCCTTGACATTCCTTGGTTTGTAGACACATCACTGCAGTCTGCCTCCTCCTTCACGTGGTGCTATGGTTTAAGTGTTTGTCCACTCCGAAATTCATGTTGAAATTTAACTGCCATTGTAAGACTATTAAGTGGGGCCTTTAAGAGGTGATTATAAATTGCCCACTCTTTGGTATCCTTTTATAGCATCATAAAATGGACTGAGACAGAAAACTGGTACCGGAGAATATGGTGTTGCAGAAACACCTGAAAATGTGAATTGGTGTTAGAACTGGGTAATGGGCAGAGACTGGAAGGGCTGCTGGGATTACAGGCGTGAACCACCATGCCTGGCTAATTTTTTGTACTTTTGGTAGAGACAGAGTTTCACCATGTTGCCCAGGCTGGTCTTGAACTCCTGACCTCAAGTGATCCGCCTGCGTCGGTCTCCCAAAGGACTGGGATTACAGGCGTGAGCCACCGTGCCCGGCCTTTTAGTTTTTACATAGTCAGATTTTTAAACCGTTTTCCTGTATGATTTCTGTTTTATTATGTTTAGAAAGACCTCCTTAACTTCAAGAATTAACATTATCCCATATTTTCACTTTAACAAAATTCGTTTTAAATTCTTAACTTTTTTATCGAACGGGTGTCTTGTGCGTGCTGGCACGCGCACAAAGAGGCAGACAAGTAGCCTTATTCTTTTCCATGTGGCTAGGCAGTTGTGCCACCCTCATCACATAGTAAGTTTCCTAGACGACTCAAAGGAAAATAAGTTCAAAATAAATGGTAAAAGTTTTTCAGTAAAGGCGAACTCAGTACGCCTGTCAGCCCCTGTGGGGAGAAAAGCCTCCCTTTCCAGGGCAGTCTTTGCCTGCGAACCCGGGAAAACCAGCGGAACGTAGGTGTGCGAGAGCCGGGAGCCGGACGAGCCCGGATACTGACGGCTGCACGGCAGCAGGGGAGCGGTTTGGCGGAGACACAGGGCCACCCAGAGGCCGTCGCGATGCTCCCCTCCTTGCAGGAATCGCTGGATGGAGATGAAAAGGAGCTAGAGAGTAGCGAGGAGGGAGGCTCAGCCGAGGAGCGGAGACTCGAGCCGCCGTCCAGCAGCCACTACTGTCTTTACAGCTACCGCGGAAGCAGGTGCTGGCGCCCAGCTCGGCCTGCCAGCCCGCCTGCCCCTGCGGCCCCGCCCCCGGCCCGCCGCCCGGCCTTGCACCCCACCCTCGGCCCGGCGGCCCGGCCGCTCCTAAAAGCCATCTTCTCCTCTCCCAGCCAAGGTCTCTGGCCTGAAGGGCGCTCCTTGCCTCACGCTGCTCTTCCCAGCCCCCATCGTGGACTTGTATGCCTGGCCCAACCATGCCTGTGCCCTTCATCTGCCCCTATATCATCCCAGCTCCTTACTCTGCGGCTGCCCTTTGTTTAGCGCAGTGCCTCACACGCTCAATAATTTCAGTTCCCGTCCCCTCTCCTTTCTGTCATTATCTCCCCACTTTCTCCCATTTCTGTCACACACACCCCCGTCCCCACCCTCTGGTTTTCCTCTGTTCTTGCTTCCTCTTTTCCCTTCTCCTGACTGACTTTCCTGGAACCTTCTTGGCCCTGTCAAGTTTGGTTTTTAAAGGAGTCTCCTTGAACCTTCTGGGTATTTAGCCTTTCCTCCATCCCTTAGGTGGCCTGGAGAGAGAAGGGGCTCTTGTCAGCACTGCTGTATGGGTTTTCCTTGTCATGAGGATAGGCAGTGCACTTCCACCTTGCAGCATTTTTAGTTGACTCCTTGCCTTACCCTGCTTGCAAGGCCCCCATACTCCTCTTGGTTTAGAGCCCATAATTGATAGCACTATTGGTTTTGTGGCTTGCAGATTGGCACAGCAACGAGGGGACAGTGATGATGGAAGCCCAAGTGGCACAAATGCAGAAACTCCCTCTGGTGATGATTTCAGGTAAAAAGAGCTTCACCGTAATTCATGCATGTGCTTTTATCTTCCCTGCATCTCTGGCCTGTGCATGTCAGTGGGTACTCTATTTCCACTGAGCTTTCCCTGAGTCAAACCATCAATTTCCTCCTGTCCCCTAGGAACCTCATCCTGATTTCCTCATTGACTGGTTCATTCAAGGCAGGGACAAACAAATCCACATACTTGTGCTTGGTGATTAGCTACAAAGAAATCCTTTTTTTTTTTTTCCCTTTTAAATTGAGACCGGGTCTTGCTCTGCTGCCCAGGTTGGAGTGCAGTGGCATGATCTTGGCTCGCTGCAGCGTCAACCTCCCCGGCCTCAGGTGATCCTCTCACTACAGCCTCCCCAGTATCTGGGACTACTGACCACCACGCCTGGCTAATTTTTGTATTTCTGATAGAGATGGGTTTTCGCCATGTTGCCCAGTCTAGTCTTGAACTCCTGGACTGAAGTGATCTGCCCACTTCTGCCTCCCAAAGTGTTGGGATTACAGGCATGAGCCACCTTGCCCAGTCCTGAAATTTTTTTTTTGTTGTTGTTTTTTGAGACAGTCTCCCTCTGTTGCCCAGGCTGGAGTGCAGTGGCACGATCTCGGCTCACTGCAAGCTCCACCTCCCGGGTTCAGGCCATTCTTCTGCCTCAGCCTCCTGAGTAGCTGGGACTACCAGCACCCACCACCATGCCTGGCTAATTTTTTTGTATTTTTTTAGTAGAGACGGGTTTCACTGTGTTAGCCAGGATGATCTCAATCTCCTGACCTCGTGGTCCACCCACCTCAACCTCCCAAAGTGCTGGGATTATAGGCGTGAGCCACTGCGCCCGGTCCCAGCCCTGAAATTTTTAAATCATCAATTATACCTCAATGAAGTTGAAAGATAAAAAAGATAAGAATGTGTGCAGGGGTGTGATTATAATGACTGACCATGGAATTAAGGTGGAATAAGGAGGGAAATGAGATGAGAAACTTGAGAGACTGTGAAAAAGAGGTAGGGTCAGTGGATTGGGGGTTCCAGTGGAGTCACAGTACTGGAGAGAATGAGCTGGAAAGATAGGAGTATTTTAAGCTATTTGATGAGGTAGATCATACTTAGTGACATGCATTCCTAGGAGCTTCACCAATAGGATTCATAAGGACAGCTTTCCCCCGTCCTTAAAAGAGCCCCTGGCTTTGGTACCATTCTGTCTGACTTAATGGGTGTGAATACACTAGTCCACTGGTAAAGAATGTGTGTCTTTCATTTGTCAAGCCTCTCCTTGGCGGATACTAATCTACCATCCGAAGTGGAGCCAGAGCTGCGCAGTTTTATTGCTAAGCGTCTTTCAAAAGGTGCAGTCTTTGAAGGGCTGGGTAATGTTGCATCTGTGGAGCTGAAGTAAGTGCAAAATGTGCTGTGTCCTGAGTTTTTGTTTCTGAACTAAATATGAGAAGTGATGAGAAACTCCAAAAGATCAGCTCCTACTAGACCTGCAGAATTTGTCTTTGTTCTCTGGCAGCCCGAGCACTGGGCCTCACACATAAACATTTGTGGAATGGAATTAATTGAATGGCAGAGACCCTGGCACGCAATTGCACTTTATTTAATTAGCTTATTTTTTTGAGACAAGGTCTTGCTTTGTTGCCCAAGCTGGAGTGCAGTGGCATGATTACAGCTCACTGCAGCCTTGACCTCCTGGGCTTAAGCAATCCTCTTACCTCAGCCTCCCAAGTATCTGGGACTGCAGGCAGGCACTACTATGCCCAACTAATTTTTAAATTTTTTTTTTTTTTTTTGTAGAAATGGCATCCCACTATGTTGCCCAGACTAGTAAGTTTTGTACTTAGAAGAAAGAGTTGATTATTAAAACTAAATTTGTATACAGTTTCTAAAGTATTTTCACAAACTTTTGTAGTTTTCCTTACAAAGGGGAAATATAGCAGATACTTTTATTTTCATTTTCAGATGAGGAAATAAACTCAGAGAAGTTTATATAAGCTCAGGTCATAAGGCTGGTCAAATTGATGGAGTTCAGGCTTAAACATGAGCATTCTTAGTTCAATTCCAACTGTCTTTCCATTACACCTCTATTTTTTTTTTTTCTTTTTTTTAGACAGAGGCTCATTCTGTTGCCCAGGCTGGAGTACAGTAGTCTGATCTTGGCTCACTGCAACCTCCACCTCCCTGGTTCAAGCAATTCTCCTGCCTCAGCATCCCGAATAGCTGGGATTACAGGCATGCAGCACCACACCTGGCTACTTTTTGTATTTTTAGTTGAGATGGGATTTCACCATGTTGGCCAGGCTGGTCTCATACTCCTGACCTCAGGTGATTCACTTGTCTTGGCCTCCCAAAGTGCTGGGATTACAGATGTGAGCCACCACGTCCAGCCTCCATTACACCTCTTAATTATAGTTCAGCTCAGGCCGTGAAGTTAGCATACAGGTTCCCTCAGGAGTTTGAGGCCACGTCCCAAGGATGAGGCCACCTTCAGGCACATCTGCCTGAAACATCAATTTGTAAAAGTTTGGGAGAAGGGAGAACATGCCTTTTTTTAAAAATATAAACATGGGTATGAACTAGAGTGAAATTTGTGTGAATTCTTCACGTAAGACAGGAGAATTCAAAGAAATTTCATGTATGGTAGTGGCTGCTTTAACTAAAGCCCTCCAGGGTATACATTCGTTTTTCTTTGCTGCTACAAGCACACCAACAAGAAGTCTGGGAAGCTCTGAGTTAGTGGGCAGTTTAATGGTGTTGCCAGATCAAGATGACCGAAATTCAGAGCAGTCCACAAAATTATAGATGCATGAGTAACCAAAATAATGCAGTTTACATTTTCTTTCTTTTCTAGAATTCCAGGTTACCGAGTTGGTTGTTATTACTGCCTTTTCCAAAATGAAAAATTGCTTCCTGAAACAGTAACGACAGACTCTGAACATAACCCTTCAGAATATGTGGTCTGTTTTTTAGGAGGGTCTGAAAAAGGACTTGAGCTATATCCTTTCTTTGGTTTTTGAGAACATCAGGAAGGAAAACATGGGAAGGCAGGTGGAAGACTATTACTACCAACCTCCGAAAAGCTTTTCTACTCCTCGTGTATTTAGTTGAATTTCATACCTTCATGTGGCCATTTTGCCTTGGCTTGCTTGCATTTGCAGCTCACATTATTTGAGAGATTTTATATTTCTCGTTGAGAGACAAAATACTGTCTTCATTATTCATCCTTTATTGCTTCCTTAAGAACATACTTTCAGGCTTGAATTGGACAAGTACATTCAAGGGCTGAAAAATAACATGAATTGTGAGGTAAGGTGACTGACTTAATGGTTTTTAAAGACTGAAATGGGGCCAGGCTCAGTGGCTCACACCTGTAATCCCAGCACTTTGGGAGGCCGAGGTGGGCAGATCACAAGGTCAGAGACCAGCCTGGTCAATATGATGAAACCTCGTCTCTACTAAAAATGGAAAAATTAGCCGGGCATGGTAGCGGGTGCCTGTAATCCCAGCTACTCAGGAGGCTGAGGCAGGCGAATCACTTGAACCCGGGAGGCGGAGCTTGCAGTGAGCCGAGATCGCGCCACTGCACTCCAGCCTAGGCGACGAAGCGAGACTCCGTCTCAAAAAAAAAAAAAAGAAAGAAAAATTTGATCTATTCAATGGCATGTAGTAACATGCCTGGCGAGGAAGAGGATGTCCTTTTCCTGATTTCTAGGCATATAAGATTTGTATTATGGTCAGAAGTAGTGGTCCATGCAGCCTCTGGCACAAAGACATGCTATGCAATAGTATGACTGTTCTTGAACTCAACATCAAAGATTCTTAAAAACATTCTATTTTCATTAACTGATCTTTTATGAATTAGGCATATCCATACCAACTTATTCAAACCTTTGCAAAACTGGCTGGGTGTGGTGGCTCACACCTGTAATCTCAGCACTTTGAGAGGCTGAAGCGGGCAGATCACTTGAGCCCAGAAGTTCAAGACCAGCCTGGGCAACAAGGTGAAACCCCTTCTCTACAAAAAATACAAAAATTAGCCAGACATGGTGGCACGTGCCTGTGGTCCTAGCTACTTGGGAAGCTGAGGTGGGAGGATCGCTTGAGCCTGGGAAGTTGAGGCTGCAGTAGCTATGATCGCACCACTGCACTCCAGCCTGGATGACAGAGTGACACCTTGTCCCAAAAAAGCAAACAAAAACTGCTTTCAGCTTGTAGCAGTTGTTAGTCATGACTCTCACAAATTTACTACCTATTACATATATAGTAGTAGTTTTACTTTTCACATACTTAGAAGATACTGCAGGAGAGAGGAAGGGATAGTGCAGGAGTGAGCAAGGGATGCAAGTCTAATAGAGCTGTTCTCCCAGACTAGAGCTCTTCCTGTGTGACACTGGTCTTCAGGGAGCAGCATAGCCTAGAAAGCCAGATGTGCTCATGGCAGCATGTCTGACATTGAAGTGGGGTGGAGTGCTTTGATGAGTTACTTGTATCCTTCCCTGTTCACATTCTGAATACGAATGAATTCTGTATCTACATGCCTTTAGTCATTCAATAGGCACTTAATAAGCTCATACTATGCATGTTTTAGACACTGTACCACAAATGCTGGGGAAATGAGGATTATTGAGTGAGTATCTCCATTGAGTGCACAGTATAGTGGGAGGACAGGGGCATGTGAATGCCCAACTCTTCCCTGTGAAGAAATAGCATGGAACCCTATTAATTCAGTCTCTTCATTTTATGGAATGTATTTCTTGGTGTGTGTTAAATAAATTCAGCACAGAATTAATCCTCACCCTGCCCAACAAGCCAGGAAAGATATATCGCAGTTTCTTTTTTTGAATTGGTGGTGTTAGCTTTAAAAAGGGAGGTATCTATCCTGGTCTTTTTTACCATCAAGGATATGATGAAGAAAATATGAAGTCCACTAAAGGGAAGGCTTCTATTTTTTTTTTTTTTTTTTTTTTTTTTTTTGAGACAGAGTCTCACTCTGTCGCCCAGGCTGAACTGCAGTGGCCAGATCTCAGCTCACTGCAAGCTCCGCCTCCCGGGTTTACGCCATTCTCCTGCCTCAGCCTTCGGAGTAGCTGAGACGACAGGCGCCCGCCACCACGCCCGGCTAGTTTTTTGTATTTTTTAGTAGAGACGGGGTTTCACTGTGTTAGCCAGGATGGTCTCGATCTCCTGACCTCGTGATCCGCCCGTCTCGGCCTCCCAAAGTGCTGGGATTACAGGCTTGAGCCACCGCGCCCGGCCGGGAAGGCTTCTATTAAAGCAAATGGCATTCTTTCTTGATTTAGGAAAGGGGCCTGGAGAGTCACAGAAAGTCCTATCTGAGCAGCTGGTTTGAGGATGTTGTATGCCCAATCCAAAGGGTTGTTCTTCTCTTTCAGGAAAAGCTTACCTTTCTGCTACATGCTGTAAGTACTGCCCAAACGAGAGCATTTCCTTAACTGAGAATCACTTTGGATCATTTAGAAACATACTGATTTTCTCTGAGTATGACTCCCATCCCTCCCCAAATACTGAAACTACGCTTGCTATCAAGATAGACCACACTTTATTTTCTCAGATCTAGAAAGTGATATTACTAAGGTAGAGTTGGATTTCAAATGCTAAGTCTTCCTAATAGGATAAAACATTTTAAAATAATTACTTTTCAAAGTCATCTGGGAAAGGTATAGTTTCCAAAACAATTTGAAAAGGTAAACAAAAATCTAAAGCAATTTTGATTCTATAAAATGTTAATGAGCAGTGGCTGAACAAGGCTCTGGAGAGTTTGTGACCAGTGCCCATCAATCGTTGTCCAGCGTGGTAGGGACTTATAGGGACATTTAGTTATCAGTAGCTGCTCAAGAAAAACTGGAATATATATACCAATCAGGTTTCATTTTTCTCTCATAGGCTTTGAGTTATACTCCTGTTGAAGTTAAAGAATCAGATGAAAAAACAAAGAGAGACATTAACAGGTAAAGAACACAGTTTTTTCAAAGAGAAAAGCTTTTCCACAGCAAGATTGACATCTATGTTTGTAAACTCCTCCTCCCATCCCTTCCCCACCAGCCTAGTGCAAAATAAATTTGTTTTCACCCTTCCGTCCTGCAATATTGTTTGTGGAAATGGACTTGTGTGTGTGGCAGGTTTCTGAGTGTGGCCAGTCTTCAAGGACTTATTCATGAAGGCACCATGACTTCTTTGTGCATGGCCATGACAGAGGAGCAGCATAAGTCTGTGGTCATCGATTGCAGCAGCTCCCAGCCTCAGTTCTGCAATGCAGGTGAGCTACAACCTCTGAAGCAGCCTTCCTACATCTCTTGCGAGTCCCCATCTTTGCACTGAGAGCATATGATACAACCTTATTCTTCCTGCCTTGCACAGTTTTACATGGTTATCTCAAACAATGAGAAACCACTTGCTGAAAACAATATAATTCTAGAAACATGGAAATCATGCTATGCCTAGCAATTCCACGCCTAGTACATAAAGAAATTCTAGTATGTGTACACAAGGAGACGAATTTTAAAATGTCCATAAAGGCATTATTTGAAAAAGGAAGGAATTGGAAGCAATTTAAGTGTTTATCAACAGGAAAACTGATAAACTGCTATACTCATGCAATGGAATATAACAGAGCAGTGAAAATGAATGAACTAGAGCTACTTGTGTCAATATAGCTCTCAAACATACTATTTAGTGAAATAACCATAAAAGAAAAAATACATAAAAGTTTTAACATATGCAGAATAATGTAGATAAAGCTTGCACACACAAAGGTATATGGGAAAAGTTTAAAGACGTCTGTGGGAATGATCATGCTTTCTGATGGGAAAGGAAGGGGGATGTGATTGGGAAGGGGCATACACAGGGCTTCAGCCATTTTGGTATTCCTTAGCCATGTGGTGAGCACACCATTTTTTTTAGGCCATTATACAAGTCTTAAATAATTATAGATGTTTTATATATAAATAAATGGGTCGGGCGTGGTGGCTCACAGCTGTAATCCCAGAACTTTGGGAGGCTGAGGCAGGTGGATCGGAGTTCAGGAGTTCGAGACCAGCCTGGCCAATATTGTGAAACCCTGTCTCTACTAAAAATACAAAAAAATTAGCCAGGCATGGTGGCAGGCACCTGTAATCCCAGCTACTCAGGAGGCTGAGGCAGGAGAATCACTTAAATCCAGGAGGCGGAGGCTGCAGTGAGCCAAGATCACGCCATTGCACTCCAGCCTGGGCAACAAGAGCGAAACTCTGTCTGAAATAAATAAATAAAGCTTTGTAAAATTTCATTTTATTTAGTCTCTCTGAAATGTTTTATAGGAAGTAACCGGTTTTGTGAGGATTGGATGCAAGCTTTTTTAAATGGTGCTGAAGGAGGTAACCCTTTTCTTTTCCGACAAGTACTGGAGAACTTTAAACTAAAGGTAATTAGTTGGCTGTGTGCCAAGTCGCACATGAAATTTTTGTCTGAATTTTAATTAGTACCAGTGACAAGAGTAGCAAACTTGCTTTATAGCTGTGATGTTTGTTAATTAGGATGTTCTCAAAACTGGAATTATCAGAAGACACTTACTTTATTTTTTGGTAGCTTCTGTATACATATCATTTCTAATAAATTGGGTTGAATGCTTGCTTATATTTAAGGAACATCAGTCTTGGCCACAATTTGCGACTTATCTTAGTTGCAAAGCACAAAAAAAGTGGTTCAGTGCCTAAGTTTTCAAAATTCTGTTGGGGGCTGGGCGCGGTGGCTCACGCCTGTAATCCCAGCACTTTGGGAGACCATGGCAGGTGGACTGCTTGAGGCCAGGAGTTCAAGACCAGCCTGGTCAACATGGCAAAACCCTGTCTCTACTAAAATTACAAAAATTAGCTGGGCATTGTGGCATCTGCCTGTTATCCCAGCTATGTCAGGAGGCTGAGGCATGAAAATTGCTTGAACCCAGGAGGCAGAGATTGCAATGAGCCCAGATTATGCCACTGCACTCTGGCCTGGGTGACAGAGTGAGACTTTGTCTAAAAAAAAAAAAAAAAAAAAATTCTGAGGGAGACTTGTTGTCACCTTATTTAGGAGTTTTGTTTGTTTTAAGAGACAGAATATTACTCTCTCACTCAGGCTGGAGTGCAGTGGTGCAATAATGGCTCACTGCAGCCTTAACCTCCTGAGTTCAAGCAATCTTCCTGTCTCAGCCTCCTGAGTAGCTGAAACTACAGGTGTGCACCACCACACTCGGCTAATTATTTTATTTTTTGTAGAGATGGGGTCTCGCTGTGTTGCCCAGGCTAGTCTCAAACTACCGGCCCTTAAGCAATCCTTTTGCCTGGGGCTCCCAAAGTGTTGGGATTACAGCCATGAGCCACCATGCTAGGCAGGAGATTATTTTAAAGTATTTTTACTTCGTATAAGAGATTTTCAGCTGGGCGTAGTGGCTCACGCCTGTAATTCCAACACTTTGGGAGGCTGAGGCGGGTGGATCACTTGAGGTCAGAAGTTCGAGACCAGCCTGGCCAACATGGTGAAACCCTGTCTCTACTAAAAATACAAAATTAGCCGGGTGTGGTGGTGCACACCTGTAGTCCCAGCTACTTCAGAGGCTGAGGCAGGAGAATCACTTGAACCCAGGAGACGGAGTACAAACTCCAAGATCGAGCCATTGTACTCCAGCCTGGGCAACAAGAGCGAAACAAGAAAAAAACAGAGATTTTCTTCTACCAAGGGCAAAGCATACTGTAAATTTTGGAAATATGTAATATGAAAAGCAAACAATTCAGGAAGATATGTTGAGTTCTCAGCTGGATAGGAGTTATTTTTTTTAGCTTCATTATTATTTCACTTAACACATTTTTAACTGGGTAATCTTTTTCTAGGCCATACAAGACACAAACAATTTGAAGAGATTTATCCGACAGGCAGAAATGAATCATTATGCTTTGTTTAAATGTTACATGTTCCTAAAGAACTGTGGTAGCGGAGATATACTTTTGAAGATTGTTAAAGTGGAACATGAAGAAATGCCTGAAGCCAAAAATGTGGTAGCTGTCCTTGAAGAATTCATGAAAGAAGCTCTTGACCAAAGTTTTTGATCATATGTTTTCAGATAATTGTATGATCAAGTGATATATTTAAGTCTTAGTGTTTGAAATTGCAGTTATAATTGTTCATAGGATTGCTATTTAAGATGATTTGAAACTCAATCCAGATTTTCTTTTCATATTTTACCAATTTAACTTAAACAAAAATCTGAGGAACATCTTCAAATGAGTCCTGGACAGATGCGTATGTGAGAGTTGTGGAATTTTCTTCACTGAGTCCTGGACAGACGCGTATGTGAGAGTTGTGGAATTTTCTTCACTGAGTCCTGGACAGACACGTATGTGAGAGTTGTGGAATTTTCTTCACTGAGTCCTGGACAGACGTGTATGTGAGAGTTGTGGAATTTTCTTCACTGAGTCCTGGACAGACGTGTATGTGAGAGTTGTGGAATTTTCTTCACTGAGTCCTGGATAGACGCGTATGTGAGAGTTGTGGAATTTTCTTCACTGAGCCGTAGGTAGATACGTATGTGAGAGTTGTGGAATTTTAGTGTCTCACTGGCCCCATAAATTCCAGGCTTCAGGAAGCTGTTGCTTAAAAAATTTCAGAGATGATTTTGTTTGTGGCTTTTCTCAGGAAAAGCCTGAGTCTGCTGCAGTATTTAGCAACCTTTCTTAGAAAAACCATAATACTTCCTTTTCAATGGGTTGTAGCTTTAAAAAAAAAAAAAAATGTAATCCTAGTCTTAGAACAGATTAATACCACTACACCATTTCAGAGATAGATCTGTGCATCCTGTGGGTGCTTGATACCTTTTTTTGTCTAGTTGATAATGGCATGGATGATAGTCAAGATTTTAAGTCAATATGCAAATCCTGAGTATGTAGAAAATTAAATGAGCTTTAAAAATCGATGCACTAGCTTCAAGATAAAACATTATCTTTGAGAGAAAGCTACTGCAGAAATCGCCCCCAGTCACCATTTCATTTATTTGTTCACAGGTATTTATGAAGAGCCTGTGTTTTCTTTTAGGTGAAAATGCTGGAGTTTTAAAACAGTGTTGAGAAAAGAAACAAAGTACATACAGTTTACAAGCAAACTGTAACATAAGGAATGCAAACAGGTTCTTCATATTAGAGTGACTCATTGATTTTAGTTTTTTGTACATTTGTTACCAGCCTCAGATTGTTTTACTCTGAATCAATTGAAAGTGCCCTCAGCTAGCCATTTACAATTCCCATGGAAGCCTATGTAGCTACACACATACAATTGCAATTTGCTCGGCATAGCTCTTTAATAAATTCATTTGATAATGATTTTTGCTTAGAAGAACAGAAGAAGTCTTGTGTTCTCACTTCCCTGAGGATGCTCAGAGGAGCACAAACCCATAAAGCTGAGGAATCCTTTCTTAAATGGATCTAAATTCACATTAAGTGCTGAGTTTTAACTTTGAAAATGACTGACAATGGCCTTCTGGTTTTTCCTCTACGTAAGCCTCGGGACGTGACTCACCAAGCATTTCTTTTCCTTTAATGAGAAATACAATTCAGGATCTTCATAAATGCTTTCATATGGTTTTAAACTTTAATAACTTGGATTGTAGGTAGTATAGAAAGAAATCGAAGTAGCATTTTTCATAGTATTAAAATGAGAGTGGTTGGGCATGGTGGCTCACGCCTGTAATCCCAGCACTTTGAGAGGCCGAGGTGGGTGGATCACCTGAGGTCAGGAATTTGAGACCAGCCTGACCAATATGGTGAAACCCTGTCTCGACTAAAATTACAAAAACTAGCTGGGAATGGTGGCGTGTCCCTGTCGTCCCAGCTACTTGGGAGGCTGAGGCAGGAGAATCGCTTGAACCCAGGAGGCGGAGGTTGCAGTGAGCCAAGATCGCGCCACTACATTCCAACCTGGACAACAGAGTGAGACTCTGTCTCAAAACAATAAAGTCAGGGTGATTAAGGAAAACCAGTAATTTTATGACACTGTCGTTGAATCTGACTGTCTTTTCCCAATGCAGTTGGTTCCCCATTTAGAAATCATTTTTTTAAGTAAGCCATATTAGCACATCAGTGTTTTAAGTCTGAAAAACATACTTCATTTTCAAATTCATGTCATTGAAGAGTCTGTGTTGTAAATGGTGTTTAAAAGCAAATGTGTTACCTGCTTCACATCATTTATGGATATAGGCAAGGTGTAATTATATATTCTCTCTGTGTTGTATATATTTTTGTAATGTAGGCTCACTACATTACACAGCTCTATATGATAGTCTTATCTTTTTTTTTTTTTTTTTTTAAATGAAATGTGGTCTCACTATGTTGCTCAAGACTGGTCTTAAACTCTTGAACTCAAGCAATCCTCCCACCTTGGCCTCCCAAAGTGAGCCACTGCACCCAGCCTCTGGTAGTCTTATTTTAAAAAAATAAGTCTGGGCCAGGCACGGTGGCTCATGCCTGTAATCCCAGCACTTTGGGAGGCCGAGGCGGGTGGATCATGAGGTCAGGAGATCGAGACCATCCTGGTGAACACGGTGAAACCCCATCTTTACTAAAAATACAAAAAATTAGCCAGGCATGGTGGCGGGCACCTGTAGTCCCAGCTACTCAGGATGCTGAGGCAGGAGAATGGCGTGAACCTGGGAGGTGGAGCTTGCAGTGAGCTGAGATCGCACCACTGCACTCCAGCCTGGGCAACAGAGCGAGACTCTGTCTCAAAAAAAAAAAAAAAAAAGTCTGACAAACTGTATATCACTACTCTAGACAAGGAAAATGGTGTCATGGAACTGAATATCTTGGTCATGAGAAGAAACCACAGAGCTCATGACTAGAAACATGTACTGTATTCAAATTTTAATAAGCTACTATCTTGGCTTTTAAAGTTTTTTTGTCTTTGTTTTTGTTTTATGTTTTGAGACGGAGTCTCACTCTGTCGCCCAGGCTGGAGTGCAGTGGCGCAATCTCGGCTCCCTGCAACCTCTGCCTCCCAGGATCAAGCTATTCTCCCGCCTCAGCCTCCCCAGTAGCTGGAACTACAGGCACCCGCCACCACCCCCGGCTAATTTTTTGTATTTTTAGTAGAGACGGAGTTTCACCGTGTTAGCCAGGATGGTCTCCATCTCCTGACCTCGTGATATGCCTGCCTCAGCCTCCCAAAGTGGTGGTATTACAGGCGTGAGCCACTGTGCCCAGCCAGCTTTTAAAGTTTTAAAAAGGATTTGTTTAGACATGGAATATAGTTTTGTATATTACTTGTGTGCTGTACACACAGAGGAAATGTATGTTTGTCATGTATGAAGACTGGCTTCAGTTTATCTGTAATTTGTCATTATAATAATAAAACTTAGCTTCTTATCAAGACAGTTGTTTTTGTTTAATGAGCTCAATCCTCAAGCCTAACATTTGTATTCCCAACAAGTTTGTGAGGAAATTATACTTGTTATACTAAGGAATTTGTTGAAGAAAATCAAATCACTTGCTGGGATACACACCTTTCTGCTTCTTGCAGGAGGCATCATGCACAGTCCAAGAGCAATTTCCCTCACAATGTTTTATTCATCGTCCGGTAGAGTTATACCCGTAGAACTCAATAAACCAAGTTACTTCCTTTCACTCTCATTCATTATTCACCATGACAGAATGCCTGTCCTCTACCAGAGGATCCCTTAGACCAGGTGCCAGGAAAGCCCGTGGGCTTCTTGGAAATCAGATGCAGTTACTAGGACCATACTTTCCTAACAGTGTGTCTTCTCAGTTAATGGAAACCCTGCTGGCTTCAATGAAGTCTTTCCACTTGGAGGTCTGAGAGGGCAGCCCAGTTCTTTTAATTGCTAAAGTTCCTAAATGTGGCTGGGTGTGGTGGCTCAGGCCTGTAATCCCAGCACTTTGTGAGGCCAAGGCAGGAGGACTGCATGAGCCTAGGAGTTCGAGACCAGCCTGGCAACAGAGTGAAACCCCATCTCTACAAAAAGTAAAATTAGCAGGACCTGGTGGTATGTGCCTATAGTCCCAGCTACTCAGGTGGCTGAGGCTAGAAGATTGCTTGATCCCAGGAGCTCAAAGTAAGTGAGCTATGACTGTTCCACTGCACTCCAACCTGGGCAACAGAGTAAAACCCTGTCTCAAATATAAAGAAATAGGCCAGGCATGGTGGCTCACGCCTGTAATCCCAGCACTTTGGGAGGCCTAGGCGAGCAGATCACCTGTCGGGAGTTCGAGACCAGCCAGGCCAACATGAAGAAACCTCATCTCTACTAAAAATACAAAATTAGCCAGGTGTGGTGGCGCATGCCTGTAATCCCAGCTATTCTGGAGGCTGAGGCAGGAGAATCGCTTGAACCTGGGAGGTGGAGGTTGCAGTGAGCCAAGATCATGTCATTGCACTCCAGCCTGGGCAACAAGAGCGAAAATACATATATATGGAAGCAGTAATGAATCGACAGCTGGGGTTTTTCTTGTAAACTACTATGAGGGCTGATAAAGTGAAGGTCCTATTACACGAACTCTGAGTGAATGTCCCGAGGTTCATTCCTGTTACCGGATGGCCCTAGGCCTAATGCAATGAGATGGATCTTTAAACAAAGACCCTGAGGCCTGCACATGCTTAGTGCCCTTACAGTCCTGTGCACATACTGAGGGCTGACAGCATGAACTTTGGTACCAGCAATCTTGGGTGTGAAGCCAGCTTGTGCCACATACTACGAGCAAGTAACTAAATTTCTCTAACCTTTTCCCTTGTGTATAAATAGGGGGATATTTATACCCAGTTCACATAAAGTAGCTGTGGAAATGCCTACCTCAGGGCCTAGCACATAGTAGGTACACAGTAAATTGTCTTCATTTTCTTTTTTTTTTGAGATGGAGTTTCACTCTTGTTGCCCAGGCTGGAGTGTAATGGCACGAACTCAGCTCACCGCAACCTCGGCCTCCCAGGTTCAAGCGATTCTCCTGCCTCAGCCTCCCAAGTAGCTGGAATTACAGGCATGCTCCACCACGCCCGGCTAATTTTATATTTCTAGTAGAGACAGGATTTCTCCATGTTGGTCAGGCTAGTCTCGAACACCCAACCTCAGGTGATCTGCCTGCCTCAGCCTCCCAAAGTGCTGGGATTACAGGCATGAGCGACTGCACCTGTCTTCTTCTTCTTTTTTTTTTTTTTGAGATGGAGTTTCGCTCTTGTTGCCCAGGCTGGAGTGCAATGGTGCAATCTCGACTCACTGCAACCTCTGTCTCCTGGGTTCAAGTGATTCTCCTGCCTCAGCCTCCCGAGTAGCTAGGACTACAGGCATGCACCACCATGCTTGGCTAATTTTGTATTTTTAGTATAGGTGGGGTTTTGCCATGTTGGCCAGGCTGGTCTCAAACTCCTGACCTCAGGTGATCCACCTGCCTCGGCCCTCCAAAGTGCTGGGATTACAGGTGTGAGCCACTGTGCCTGGCCCTTCATTTCTTAATTACCTTATTATTGGGAAGTGCCTTATTAATGTATTGAAGAATGAGAATCTAGTATTAATAGAAGGGAAGAACCAGGAAAGTAAAAAAAGGAAAGGCGGCAAAGGCAGAGAATTCAACAGCTTCTGGCTTTCCGAGGAGCTTGCCTTTATTATTATTATTTATTTATTGAGACAGGGTCCACTCTGTCACCCAGACTGGAGTGTTGTGGCAGGATCTCGGCTCACTGCAACCTCTGCCTCCCAGGCTCAAGCATTTCTGCCTCAGCCTCCCGAGTAGCTGGGACTACAGGTGCGCA